TAGATGTTCCAATCCTAAAATTAATTTTCTACTCTGCGTTATCAAACGTTTATCAGAAGTCCCCCAGCAATATTCTAAATGAAGAGGAGGTATCCTTGTTTATTTTTTAAGACTATAAAGTTAGCATTAGTGTGAATATATTAAATCAAATGTACTTAAAAAAAGAATTCCGTGGATGTCTCTATTCTAGCACCCTTTCTGCTCTACAATGAGAATGTTCTTCATTTCTAGATATACTTATAACTTCTCCCATATTGCTGAGGTAAAGATCTTGTACATTGTGGGTAGGCATGTAATACGTCTATATTGAGACGGGTTTGGATTGGATCATATTTTGGAAGAAGATAAGTAACACCAACTGTAAGGAATTCCGGTATTTTTTCTAGATTTCTCAAAGCGTTGTTAAATTGGTCGGCTAGATGACAGTGAACAGCTGTAATTTTTTTGGACCAAAAAGTTTTATGTCTTGTTCTGTAAATAATATCTCTTCCATACGCAGGTGGCTGTTGTTCTGTTTTTCTGTTTGAATCCAAAATTATTGACTTCATCCGACCATATACCTTCCCAGAATGTTTACAAATCTCTGGGTTTTGTTAAGCGATCTGTAGAAGCCTTTTGATTTTTTGAAAAGAAGCTGGTCTGTACTTTTCGTTGATAGCTTTCTTGGTACCTTTTTAATCTTTTGGAGGTATCAGCAAGCTTTTGTTTTAAAGTATCTAAAGAATCATCTATAATTGATTTAGTTTCAGCTATTGACGTTCCTTCTAGCTTCTGTTTGATTTCGAATAATATTTTACAGAGACGCATTCCTGATCTCTGCCCAATTGCTCTTTGCTGCAATCTAAGAATGTCTTTGTCTCTGTTCCCATTTTGGTTGTTGTGGTTTACATAGTTTGGTTGTTTCTGATATTTTTTGTTTATTGGCTTTAATCATTGCTAGAGCTGCACACGTAATTGTAATTCTTCAAGATCCATATCTGCGTTTAGTTTTTTTGGCAAATTCGTTTAGTAGAGTCAGATCCTCCGAATTCGGTAAGGTGTTGTTGGTAGTTTTCTTCCCATAATGTTGGTCAGCTTCAGATTGTCTATGTTCTTCGCCTTCTTTTATTCTTCATTTTGTTTCTTCCTTTTTGTCCTCATTATTATTATTATTATTATTATTATTATTATTGTTATTATTATTATTATTATTATTGTTATTATGATATACAACACGTCCCCCCCTGCAGGGACTGGCTGTACTGGACTTATGTCTTTACCTTGTATCAAAGTGGATACAGCTGGATACAGTATCAATTTTTTCCAGACATGTATTAATTATTGTTATGATTATTACCATATTTCAATATTACAATTACAATGGCTCTTGGACCTATAGCAGATATACCATCTAACTGGTTGAAGTTTATCCAGATTCCTAAATCTGCAAAGATGTGAAGATATGAACTGCTCTGTATTAATGTGCTATATTGACTTCGAGAAAGCATTTGACAGAGTGCAACACGAAAAAATGATTCGATTACTAAAAACTCTGGTGAAATGTGAAAATAGGAAATAATATGAGGGGTAATAAATAGGGGTAAGACATTTCCATTGCATTATTTCACCATTGCTTTTCAATTTATACTCGGAGACAATATTCCAAGAAGCTTTAGAAAATATCCAAGAAGGAATAAAAATAAGTGAGGTAATAATAAAAAACTTAAGATATGCACTTGATTACGTTCTTCTACTGGCAGATAACATTAAAGAACTTCAAAAATTCCTGGGTCAAGTAGTAGTTCCATGCAACCGTTACGGTCTTAAACTTAACATCAAAAAGACCACACATAACTGTAATTAAAGAACCGAATATTCCGTAGAACTATGGATGGGCTAAAGTAAACTTGAAAGGGTCAAGAGATTAAATATCTGGTAAATACCTGGGACAATTATTAAGCGAGGACTGGGACCATTCACTAGAAATAAAATCCAGAATTGAACAGGCAAGAGCAAGGTTCATACGTATGAGGAATGTGGTGTTGGACACGAACTTAACACTCTCACAGAGAGTACCTTAAAAAAGCTGGAAGTTTTTGAAATGTTTGAAATAGGTTGGATAGATCGAGTCGCTAACATAGAAGTCATGAACAGAAATGCTAACATCAAGATTAAGAAACTCTCATATTTCGGGCACGTTAAGACATCCTAAAACCTACAACATCCAGCATTTGATCATTCGATTTAAAAAACCTGTGTGTGTGTCAAAATCCAACATTAACTAATTAAAATCAGAAAAGTTAAATTAACTAAACACGGCCTGAATATGAAAGAAACAAAGTAGAGTAGCAATTTTTTATTATTTTTCAATATAATCCCCCTTAACTTCAATACACTTATTACATCTCTTTATTATCAACTCAATCCCTTTAAAAAAATATTCTTTTGGTTTGTCAGCAAAATGAGCTAAAACAGCCTCTTTTAACTCAACTTCGTCGTTAAACCGCCGTCCACGTAAGTCCATTTTACAAATATCCAACAAACAAATAATAGTCACTCCCCACACTCTAAAATGTGGTATTAGTTTCTTTAAAATCTATCAAAAGAATTCCTTCACAATCCCAAAAGATCGTGACCATCAACTTTTTGTTAACTGGCAGACTCTGAATTTTCTTGGAGGTGCTTCACCCTTACGACGCCACTCTATTGATTCTTTTTTCGATAAAGAGTCATAATAGAGAACAATAGTTTCATCTCCCGTTACAATAGTTTCTATCACAGGCTTCGGTTCCGACCCACAGATTTCCAAAAAAGGCCGCGCACGCTCGACACGGCGTTGTTTTCGAATAACCGCAAGTTTATTTATATCAAAATTTCGATGGGAAAATTATATCAAATCAAGAAGATTTTTTTTTCAATTAAGTTCAATTTTTCGATATTTTCTCGTATAAAAAAAGCTTTATGAAAACCATTAAATAAATTTTAAGAATTATATTGGATTCTCGATCACCTTAAATCCTTAAACAGCTGTTGATTTTTTCAAACTGTGAAGCTCTGTGTTTTTGTAAGCTATTAGGTGGCGCCTCCTACAACAAAACGCTAATCTAAGAATAAATTTGAATTTCAGTGTTTAGATAAAAACGTGAAAGCTCGAAGATGGCGATCGCTTCGATGTTCAAAAGGTTACGCATCTATCGACGGCTCGGAAATCGGAAGTAACACATTTCATCCACTCAGGACTCTCAGGACTAGTAAATCGACCATTAGGCGGATCCGATAAAAGTAGTTTATTACCGGTTAAGGCTGAAGCAGTAAATTTTACGACTTCCACAACATTGTATATGTATAGAGGCCCAAAGCGGAAAGCTTCGAAGACTGACAATTCAAGTTAGTTAAATAACCGGCGTCGTTGCGTGGAGAAAAATAACAACATATACAGTCTAGTAAACTGTATAGAAAGAGTTTCAGGGTGAGCGAGATATTTGGAATGACATCATTGGAAACAATTTTTTATATTTACCAAAGTGTTTCGTGACATTCAAATTAGGCGATACGTGAAAGACACTTCATACAGGTAGATAGATAGATAGATAGTTTTATTCACAAAGCCCAGTATGTATAAAATGGATGTTTCGTCAGGAAACGAGTACATTATAGAGTTGTATAAAGATACATGGAATTATGTATATAAACAATATGATAACACACATTTAACAGTACAGTATAGAATAGTTACAAACGGATATACAAACAGTGCAAACATATTGACAAAATATAGAGAAAATATCACTAAACTCATCAGGGCACTCCTGTAATATATGTTTCAAATTCTTTCAGGTCTTGTAGATAATGCTTTTATGCTTATAGGAAGCAAATTATAGTAATAAGGTCCTGCGTAATTTAACAACACTTAGGTGTTCTCTGTTTCAGGTGTGGACATCCGTGTGTTTCTTGTTAGAGCCTTTATTTTTATGAACGATGATGAATAATTTAAGTAAATATATGCAAGGCACTGTTAGTATTTTATACCTTATAAATATATCTTTGCAGGATAGCCTCGGGGGCAGTCTGAAAATTGACCTAAGTATCCTTTTTTGCTGAATGAACACCCTCTCCGCATCACTCGCTTGTCCCCAGTTTACGATATTATATGAAATAGACGAGAATGTGGAGGCGTAATAGAAAGTCAACAAGGATCTTTCAAAGAAAGAATCTCTGATTGTTAACATTGCGAAAAACGTTTTGTTCAGTTTATTACAAACACTATCGTATGTCGTAGTCCCACTTTAGGAAGGCATCGATGTAAGATCCGAGAAACTTTGATGTGTGGTTTAATTCCACGCGTGAACCCGCAAGCTGAACGCTAGGTTAGTCAGAGGTTTAACATACTGACCAGTGAATTCGATCGCAACTGTTTTTTCCAAATTTATGATCAAATGGTTCTGTTTGCAAAAATCAACAAACTGTACCACAATATGCACAATAAAATCACATCGATTTTGCGAAAGTTCGAGAGTGGTCCGCAGGAGCACGATAGAAAACCAATGCGTCCCTCTAGGACAAGAAACCAAGAAGCACCTTATTTTTAAAATAAAAAGCTGCTTCCCGCTACGCGCTACGAACTTGTCCTGCAAAGTGGCGATTTTTCGAAAGCAATCTTGTTCGATCCTTCTCAAATTAAGTAGGCTGTATTTAGGAATGGATATCTACCACTGCATATACTAAGAAGTGTTTCCTAGCCACAGTAGCCGTGGTTGGATCGGGCTCATAATTTCGTTGACAGAATAACATTTTCTGCACTGCCTTTAAGACTAAGAATAAATTATCTCATAAAGGTATCTGGACTGAGACTCTGTAACTTGTGTCATATTCCTAAGCGAAAGAGATGCGGACGAGAAGGCAAATCGTCGTTGCATACCGAGTTTATTCCCTAATCATTTCTCTAGACTTCTCGGCTATCGTTCGCCAAGATTCGTTTCGTCGGTCGGGCAGGGATAATTATACTACACGTGTTAAAAACATAGAAACATGTTGAAGAAAATCCCAACCTAACCAAAAATCGTTTTTTATTTTGGTTGACTGATGTTTGTTACTTTTTTTTTGGCACGTTTATTTTAATTTAATTTAATTTACATTAGGTAGGTATTTTTTATGTTCATAGGTAGGTATTTGTATTTGTTCTGTTCGTAATCTCTCCCGAAACCTCGTAGGAAAAAAATTTTAAAAATTTGCGTTCATAATCCCCAACTTAAATTACAAATGTATCCTGTTTTGAGACATTTACTGCATAAGGAGGAGAATCGACGACGGATCTCAAATCTAAAAATTGCAAAAAAGTAATGAGAAATAAAAGTGATCCATTTAATCTGCAAGAGACGATAGATTCATTGAATTGTTTCAGCTAAATAAGGAGCTAGTTCTCAATTTATTTAACGAATTGCTCCCACACATGGGAAATAGTAATAGGAATTCAAGAATTCCAAAGCAAACAAGAATTGATTGCGCAACAACTGTGTAATCGTTGGATCTGTTTTATCCAAACTGAACCAGGAAATGCTCAAATTCAAAGAGCTTTTATGGGAAAAGTTGGATCCCCGGGAATTATTGGCTGTATAATAGGACCGCATGAAAATGCGGTCTGATGATGATGCTATGTCGGCAGAAAGAATTTCATTACAAAAACATGATAAGTGGACGTGACAGATTAATAACTGATGCATTTATATGGCATGCTTTGGTGATTGGAAACTCAATATGCTGCAGGTAAGCTCTACATATTTTTATTTTCTGCTCTTCACTATATATATGAATATGATAAAAAAGTTGCACTTTACAGCAGTTACTTTATTTTTATGCCAACCTATGTATTTCGAGGTATATTTTAATTCTATTTGTTTCATTCATATTTGTTATTAGGTGATTCAGGATATGCATTACAACCTAGGGTCATGACTTGTGACAAACCTAAAGTACTGTGGAAAGATGCATATGTGTTTTTAAAACTCAATTTAGGTGCATAATGGGAGTCTCAAACTATATTATACTCCTGAGAAAGTTGACAGAATTATTTATGCATCGCATTAATAGATATTTTAGACAATAAAATAATCTGAACGCAAACGTTGTAGCATTTTTATTATTATTTTTTGGTTGCCCACAAAAAAAACATCACAAGGAAACTATTAAAAAAAAAACAAATATTAACACAGAAAATGAAGCTACAGTATTGCAGGAACAGGAACTAATTTAACGTATATGCAGACACTTTTATATTTAGAAAATTATTTTTACACCAACCTTTTCAGTAATTGTGAAAACAAATCATTGCGTCTTTCTTAATTTTGACATAATTCAAATAAACCAGTAAAATAATCGATGCTCAAAACAAACCAAATATATAATTACGATGCGCTTATTATTATTTTATTTTATTATTTTTCTCAAATTAAGTAGGCTGTATTTAGGAATGGATATCTACCACTGCATATACTAAGAGCTGTTTCCTAGCCACAGTAGCCGTGGTTGGATCGGGCTCATAATTTCGTTGACAGAATAACATTTTCTGCACTGCCTTTAAGACTAAGAATAAATTATCTCGTAAAGGTATCTGGACTGAGACTCTGTAACTTGTGTCATATTCCTAAGCGAAATTGATGCGGACGAGAAGGCAAATCGTCGTTGCATACAGAGTTTATTCCCTAAGCATTTCTCTAGACTTCTCGGCTATCGTTCGCCAAGATTCGTTTCATCGGTCGGGCAGGGATAATTATACTACACGTGTTAAAAACATAGAAACATGTTGAAGAAAATCCCAACCTACGTTCGGTTCCATGGAATGTATCCGAAAGCGCTTACAGAATTTAAAAATGAGATGGCCGTATTTGTCCAAATCGTATCGGAGCCTTCGGCGCAGCGCTGAAGAGATTCCGGCAAAGCGTTTCCGTTGAGAAAGAATTCTCCTGGATAGAGAATAATTACGATTTGTTTACATTAAAATGTTTTTAAAATACAACTGAAATACTCAGCTTAGAATATTCAGTTGCATTTTAATTAATCAAGGAGCCAAACCTATCATAAATGTGTTTGTTTAAAGGTTCTCAATTATTTTAATAAATCATTGCGGTCATAGTAAAATTGTTTTTAGGTACCTTTTACTCGGAAAATTGCACACGGCGATTATCACGAATCATGAAAGGTTAATAAATACGTGTGCCCAATTGTTCTCATAGCCATAATTATTGACGATTCTTAAATTTATTCAGTAAGCAATATGATTTATCTTTATCCAATATGATTGTCAATTAAAACACTTTACATTATGCAAAACATAAACCAGGTAGCTAGCATACCCAAAAATCAAAAAGTAAAAGTTACCTAAGTAGTTATCAGGATAACAAGTATGAAAAATTGAAATTGCTTTGAAATTTTAGAAAAGAACGGCGCCCATTAAAGATACCTACATATTTTACAAAGTCAAATTGTAAAATAAAAATCCCTCAGGTGCCAATGGAATATCTACCTACATCTTCATTGTAGTACTGTAGAAGTTGTAAGTTTTTTGTCCTAAACAATAGCGTAAATTGTTGTTCTTTATATCATGTCACATAACTCCTACTTTATTTTTTAAGCTGCTAATTTTATTTTGTTTGTAAGTACACTCCACCTATATAGATAATTAACCAAAGTAAAAAAAATTAACCGCATTTTATAAATTAATACGCTATCTGAGCCGTGTTTACACTTGCATTTTAACCTCTTTCGTTATTTGGATAAATGTTTCGGCCGCTTTCGGGTGTTCGTCGCCGGTGCCTCGGGTAATTTGGACAAATGCACATTATAGCAATAGCATTTGTGGGTTTCCCTTAAAAATGCTCCAATACCGAAATAATCTCTCCGTCTTCACATAAAACGAATTACAGAGTCACACCTCTGGGGGAAAAATGCAATCTAACCTCACTTTATATTTTAAAACTTGAGGCACCGCAAAAATCTTTTTGCAACAAAAATAACACATTTGTTGTACGTGGACTTTTCGAATTGCTGGTGGTATAGTCCTCGCCCCGCATATATTTGTGAATATTTCGACTAATTTATGCAAATAGTCTATTACAATCGAAGCGCTGTGTCGCGGCGTTGACAATCGAATCGTCGTCGAGTTATTTTAAAAGCGAGACGGACGGTTTTTGGCCCGACGTTCGAAACAGATAATTTGCGACATTTTTCTCACGACTCGCTCTGTTCACGGATTCGTTTGCCAGATTTTCGATTATTTGGTCGGGGTCATTTATTACGCCGCGTGACGTCAGGGAGGTCATAATTTCGACGACACCGGTCGTATTTCTTTCGCGGGATGACAAATCGGCCACAGAATGTTGATAAATTTGCGAAAAAAGCTGGAAATGAGTAAAAATACACTCGTTCGACTATATTTAAGTAGACGAAAATACCGAACGAACGTGTGGTTCGGTTGGTAATGAAAGGTTTTGTTTTATATTGACGCAAGACTAACTTGACGGAAAAATAAATACCGTACACAAATGAAAATGACTTTATTATGATGATGTATATGTTACTTGACTCTTGATATTCAAGCAAGTTAGTAAAATAATATAATCCTAAAGATTTTGGTGTTCAAAAAAGATAATTCTCTCTTGGTTGGTTTAAATTCGTTTTACTTTAACTCAAGATATCCTTTTTATACCTACGTGGGTATCAAGAAAAAAACTCTGGGAGCTACATCCTCATTCGTATCAGAAGCGGAATATAAGGTGTTTTCAATCTTGAATCTTTACGGTTTTTGGCCGACAAAAATAAAGCGTCTTCCACCCAACCACTTCATCATTTTTTTTTTTTTAGGCAAGACCTACTTAATGTAGAATAAACATCTGTTGGGATGGGTTTTACCATGCTCCTGAGAAGGTCTGCGCATAAGGTACTGTAAAATACTTAAAATGTCAAGGCAATAAATGCACTATATTTTTGGTCGTATTATAATAAACAAACTATTATTCTATCAATAATAGAATTTAGACTCATTATTATTATTATTATTATTATTGCTTGTTGATTGATCATTAATGTAGTAATCACAAAAATGGTGAATGTTGTGTCGCTAAGATCAAGATTTCTTCGACTTTTGAGTCTTATGAAACTGTTATTATTATTTATATTATTATTATAAGTAGGAGAACATATGCTCAGAGATTTAAGAGCCATTGAACTAGATAAGAGATATGGGCAGTCCCCAACAGAGGTGTTTTCTGTATTTCAGAGGCTATACGTCTATCGAGAAGTTTGTCCAGGTATTTAGAGAATTAGTTAGATATGTGCAGCCATAACGATAGGCAAAACAGTAACTTTGTGCCTGGACATCCTCTGAATTTTGATGGATATTTCAGTTTCTTTTCGGCTTCTTTGCGGTCGATATTCTTGTCGGCTGGAATAGCGACATCAACAAGATACGTATGAGCGGTATACAGATCCACATAAGTCGTACATAATTGTAACCTTGTTACTTTCGAAAATATTTCGAAATATTTTGAAAAAAAAAACATTTTTTTAAAAACCGTTTACCAGACCAAAAAAATTCTTGAACGAGAAGACGCAGAAGATACGGCTCCATAAACTTTTATTCTTGACAATTTTTCAAAAATATACAGGGTACTCCGCAAATTAAAAAAAAACTGAAAAATGGTCCCCTTGTTATTGAAAATTGGTTATAACTGAAAGACTATGATTCAGATCTCACTATCTTTTATATTGCGATATAGCCCGCCTAGACGCTAAAAGCTTTTGCTAAATGAGAAATGTGGTAAGTGTCCTAAATTTGCTGATCAACTTCAAATTTAGCAGAGAAGTAAAAGTCGGTGTCCACAATTAAACGGTAGAAATTGGGTGCAGTCAAATTTTGACAACTGTTTTTTAAAAATTTTTGAATTTTTTTATGGTAATTTTAGCTTTTAGAAAAATATGTTTTCCTCCATAATCGTTCACCGGATCGGCAAGATTATTTAACCAGCACACGCGGAAGATCCAGTGCAATAACATTTATTTCAGGCATTTTGTCGATTATGTACAGATTATATATAGAAAATTGTTCTTTACAGAGTAAATTATTAGCCGCAAATCAAAAATCGTAAAAAATACGGCTAATTGGTTCAAACAGTGTCATAGGCCGCATCAAGAACTACAATTTTTCTATTTGCGGTTTTCGTCTATCACATAAGCTACTCGAGATGTTTGAATAAATCCATATTGAAATCGTTATTTTATGGTTTTTTTATTTTTCTCGAAAACCATTTACTATTTTCAACAAATTTTTGAACCAGGAAACGTGGAAGATCCATGGCTATAACCTTTACTTCGAACATTGTTTGAATCATATACAGGGTGTGGCGTTTATGGGCAAAAAATCTAAAAGGTCCTAAAAATTTCTGTTTTTGTAGGTTAAGTATTGGCGATAAATGAACAACCGTTAAAGATGGGATAATTTTTTGAAAGTTAGATTCTTCAGTTCGGGGATCAGATCTTCCTGGACTGAACAATTATGTGCTAGTTTTAGCGCTGGTTTGACCAGCGATTTTTTTTCTTCATTCTGTGATAATGTCAGTATTCAGACTGCATTTTCCCTAGTACCTGCTTGGCTATACTTTACTGTTCCAACTTCGTCCGTCCCCCGTTCTTTCTTTGCACATTATTTTCAAAAATTTGGGTCACGCAATAAAATTACGCTACAATGTCCGAATATTCGTATTTTCCTCTTTATCGACACCGTCCCCGACGAGAAACGTCGAAAAAAGGGCCCGACATCGAATAAAACGAGAAGAATCGGTTCGGTTATTTTTTCGGCCTCCCGGGGTGAAAGCGTAATAAAGGTTGATGTATTTCTAACAATCCGTAAGGGTGGAAACGTCAATCATAGCGTCAGGTCCGGGTGCGGAATAAATTTTCCGGAAAATACCTCGAGCGGGCGCAGCCGGTGTATGTCTAGGATCGTTTTTCGCCGGCCGTTAAAGTCGAAACTACATAATATTCGTTTACATTCGATACCGCGGCCGCCATGGGCGTTTAAATTTTAACGGCCATAAGTTTTGTTAAAGTAACCAAACAGACGAAATTCCGAAGATAAATTCGGTTGAGTTTTGAATTTTTCGTTTCGGATATCTGTGTGTGTGTGCGTATTTGAAACTTTTTTTCAAAATTTTCGGATTTTGTACGGCGATCGAGAAGCGCAGCTCTTGCGAACATGTCGAAAAATTGATAGTGCCTTTTTTTATATAAAACTCGGTCGCTTACTCTATACTCATTTTTTTTTTGTTTACCTTGATATATTTAATATATTTATAATTCTGCTTAATTTAAGTACTTAATTCAATGTCAAACTTTACCCCTTCTTCTCCTCATTACCTACAACAAAAAACTTGGGCGATACATTTTTCAAAAGAGAGGACGAACATCTACGTGAAATAATGTTTGTTATCTTTCTATTTAGAATATTCATAAAACTTCTGAATTCCTCCTGCGTCGGTTCTTGTTGACTCGAACTAAAACTAACGTTTCTCCAATCATCATGTTGTTTTCTTCAGAGCTTGACTGAAACTGGCTCGCATTTTACTCTGTACCTGCTTTTATATTGTTTGAGGGGGGCGGAGCTAAATCAAGAGTATAAACACCGTCTCGAATGACTGAAGAATTGATTGAGAATTTTAGTTTTATTGAATAAAATGTTTTGTCCGGTTTCGTGTTCGTGTTCGGAAACTGTTGATGAGTTTATTTGTCTTAGTCTTAAATCTTAATGTTCTTTGAGCCTAGTTAATATTTTTCTTCCGGATACGCACCGAATGCTGTAAACTCCTGGAATCTTAAATGGAATTTTGTCTTTGGCGGATCGAAGATGTTGAGAGATTTTTGGACAAGTGGTTTTGAGGTTATATTTCTTTAGAACTTTTGATATCTGGTCAGTGATGTTTTGAATATAAGGAAGGACGACAGTGGCAAGTGTGGGATTGCTTTCGGTTTCATTGCTATTGGAAGGTTGTGGTGAAGCGAATTTTGAGATGGAATGCTTAATATCTTTAAGGTGGAAATTGTTACAGAGAAGAGCAGAGGAGGGTGTTTTCTGGGTTCAATGACTCGGACTGAGATAGGTTTACGGCTCTATAAACAAGAGAATTGATAACCGATCATTTTTGGTACGGATGGTGATGCGACAAAAGCAATTTTCTAAATTTCTGAAAGCAGGAAAATCACTATTTGCACGGGTGGAATTTGTAAATCACCGACGCAGGAGGAACCCAGAAAATGTGTCGATAGAATTACAATATCCTGTGGAAGTTTCTTTGAAAAATTAGCAGGGAAATACATAAATAATTTGAACAGTAATACAAATAAATAAGATACAACTAGATTAATTTTATCTTTCCTAGATACCACTAAAAAATATCATACAGCGAGACGCAAAAATAATAATAACAAACTTGACCTGTTACTAAACACAGTCTATCGGTTTTATGAAATCGATAAGAAATCATTTGGTTTATCTATTGGTCGGTATAAATCACATTTCATAAACACCATCTTATTTGACAACTTAATATTATAACATGAAGTGAATAGTTATTTTTGTATCAAGTACGAAAAATGGATTTTGGTCCTGGAGAACTTCCTAACCAGTAGCAGCGTTAACGTTCTTCAAAAATAAGTAATAAGATTAGTTTAAGATGAAAATGTTGTTTGCAGATCAAGTAATCAGTAGAAATAAATGACAGCTAATAATTATCGTTAAACAAAAGCTAAAATAGAAAAACCTTCATGTAGATTAGATACAGTGTACTGAGTAAAAGAAAATTATGAGAGACTATAGATAATCCCTTATTTTTAACGTAATTTTTCTATAATTTTTATAATTATCTAATAACGAGTCATATCAAACACTAAGTCACAAAAGGAAACTGAAAAGATAAGTGCTATACGAGCCAATTTTACATGTGCTTAAAAACGTTTTATGGGACGCCCTATAGGCATAAAACGAGCGAGTTTCCCCCTCCACCTCTGATATAATACAAAAAACATACCTGTTTGATTTTCTATCTCGCACTTGGCGACGTAAGTGATAAAAGGGGGCTGCGACCGCAGTTCGGTTACAGCAGGACGCGTCGCGACGCACTAAACCGCCGTCCGATGCGCTCGTACACGCTCCCGTCTCTTTGAGGCGGGCGTCGCGGCGACCGGTGACTTTACCGCGGTATTTGCACGCCGGAGGGCCTGTTTTTAAAGTTTCCCTTCCATTTGAACTCGAAAATCCGTGAATTTAAACGTCCTTAACGTTAATATCGCCGAGAAACTTGTCGTGATGGGATTTTTCGGAAGTCAAAGAAGTCAGTACGCCACTGGCGGCAAGCGCCGGCGCCTTTCCTAGCGTATGCGTGCGTGAAGCACTTACTCCGTTGGAATTAAATAAAGGACCTTGTTTTACACGAAAAGCTCATTGGGGATGGCGTTTTCGTGAACGGATGTGTTCCTTAACCGCATTTTAATTAATAATTTTTCCGCACGTCATGTTTATTTTCAAAACCGTTTAAGTTATGTCTTCTATAGCGGATTCGATTTTTATACCGACAATGAGCGACTCCATTGCTATTCATTCGAGTCGATTATCTATCATATTCAACGGAATTAAACAATACTCGCACAAATAAATTAAATTTGTTCAAACAAAACAGTCTATCCAATTTGCTGATTTGCTACCCCTATGACTTATGCAAACCCTTAAACACCAAAAATGTATACCCGAAACTATCTTCCGCCAACGAATCGATCGTATCGAAACTGCTTTTCGCAACAGATCGGCCGTTCTTCACTGATCAAGTCGAATTCGTTTCGGATCTCGTATACCAAGCGAGCAGAACGGTGAGGATGTAGCGAAAATGTATCAGGAGAGAGGCGGAGGTGATAGATGGCGCGAGTTGTTTTTATTTTACTAATTTTTTTGTTAAATCAAATTTAACGGAGGACATTATTTATTTAGGGCATTCCCGGCCAAAAATTTTCGTTTTCTTACTGGTTTGATTACATTATCGGGTAAATAGCTGCATACAATAAAAAACAATTTGCCGAATATTTCTAAAACGGTTCTGGTACCGATTACCTCAGTTCATTCGTTCGTGTTGTTTGTCTCGAGAAAGTTTTGGCGCTCGAAGAACACGTTCGAATTTGTTGATGATGTTTTGTATTAGGAGTGCAGAAGTGCGAAACAGTGGCTCGAGATAAATTAGGGCAACCTCGCCCGATTTAAAGATTACAAAGCGAACTGAACTGTAATCCGATTAACTAATAGTACAACGTTATTATGCGGCCTTAAAAAGTATGGAATATTCGTGCATGTCTGAGAGGATTCTCCGACAAATCGAGAGCGTCATCAAACAAGATTTGGAGCTGTGAGTTAATTGGTTTTATTCGACCCCTAACCTAACATTTCCACCTCAATTTTAGTATAGATGTTACTATCGTTCCTACCGACGACAATTCGAGAAACAAGAGCCCCGTGTTACTGCAGGAGCACCATTTGGGACTGGAATCTTGGTGTGTCAAGTATGTGTACCAGTATGCTTGTTCTGAGTTGTTTAAGACTCGAAAAATCCTGTCTGAGAAAAAAATGGGACATTCAAAAATGGAAAACTTGAACTATTTGCTTGTGGGCGCGTTGCTTATTAATCCAGATGTAGGAACGTTCTGGAACATGAGGAGGGAGCTTGTGGAGTGTGATATTTTAGATTACGAAGGCGAATTTCGCTTTAGTAAACTAGTCCTCACACGTAAGGGCAAGTCATATGAAGCATTTTGCTACAGAAGATGGCTTTTGAGGAGAATAATGGATAAACTCTTGATGAATCAAATGTCTCCTCCTGTTATGCTGCTAGATGCTGAATTAAGTGTTGCACTAGCGACTGCGCAAAATTCGCAAAATAATTACCATTCATGGACCCACAGACTTTGGTGCAATGAGAATTTAGGCCCATATTGCCCTTCAGTACTAGAAGAGGAGCTTAGTTTTAGTGAGAAGTGGATAAATGAACATGTTTCTGAGTATAGTGGTTACCATTACAGGCAGTATGTATTGAGTCTATGTGCCAAACGCGAAACTGGCACTATTTTAAGACACTACTGTGATAGGGTGTTGCAACACTTGAATCTAGTGTGCGATGTTGATTTCAATCAGTTATTAACCTATTTTCTCGGCGAACAGTCAAAGAATAGCAAGCTGGAAGTAACGTACCGCTTTATGAACTATTTGTTTTTGTTGCTGTACGAAGTGCTGGTGGTTATCCCGTGTATAAATAAAAGCTTTCCAGAGCATGAGTCATTGTGGTTGCATAGGAGGTTCGTCGTTTCTAGCTTGGTACGATTGGCATACAGTTTTCACAGTTCGAGCGTTAAAGTGCCCCGCAAGGATTCGGTTAGCTCAAAGTGCGCCAAAAATTTCGTGCAGTGTTTTTCCGCGAGTGATAGCGGCGAAAAAATGCCGAAGATGTTTAAAAGTCAACCCTGTAGAGTGGAAACGAGTAATTTGTATAAATGCTTATTGGAAACGGAGAAAATGTTTATTAACGAGAGTTGTAACACGGCGGATTACGGTAAACGCCACCAAAAATGGTTAAAGTTCGTACTCGGTATTGAGTTGACGTAAAATTCGGGTTCGGACAAATCGAAAGCAACCAATCTTTTATTTATAGAACTCTATCTTAGTAGATTTACCGATATAATATATTTTTGTTCCCTATTAACGAAACGATGTATAGCTAACATGTTTTTAATAAGAAATAAACCTTGTTACGTGCACGCGTCTGTTAACACTTGTGATTACCCTCAGTTTGCGTGACAACAGGTGCGTTTATGACGCACTGCCTTCGGGGGTCAAATTCCCATAAACATTTAAACATGTGCATTCTCACTTGGCAACAGATTCAGGCCTTTTAAATATGGGAGGTCAGTGCGGTTTCAAAGGTAGAGTATGCAGCATGCAACGCACACCCGCGCGGGGCGTTGCCAGCGATCGAGCGGCGTAGCCGTCGCAACGAAAATGTCACATCGTATCCCATCGGTTTAAAATACGTTATATACAGGATGAAATTAATTAGATTACGGCGGGAAAACGCTAACTTCGCAGTACATAAATGTAAAATCTTTAGCTTTCTGATGCAATAAAAAAAATGTTATTTGGGGAATATGGCAACGTCGTCCGTTCCTGTTTATATCAATTAAAGGTGGGGAGGGGGCAAACGGCGAGCCCACTATTTTTATGCTGAAATCAAAAGTAATAATCGAAAAACTCGTAAACAAAAACAACGCCGAATCTCTGGTAAGCAATACGAGCACTATCGGCGTTTGTTATTTTCAAATATTCGCCGAGTACTTTAGACTTTGATTTGTGATTTTGGTTATACAACGTTTCAATCCGTTCGGACCATTAACTAAAGCTTGCAGTTGTTCGTGTACAATGTCAGATAGGATAAATATCGACGCGCCCCTATGGGACCAGAGCACGTTTGTGGGGCGCTTCAAGCATTTCCTATGGGTGACAGATCCCAGGAGTTGTTTGGTAAGCGACGAAACATTAGATAAAGCCAAAGAGCTCCTGGAGCATTACCGGAAAGGTGTGGAGCCCAAAGGAACGACCCAGGAACAGGTCATATACGCGAAAAAGCTTTACGAGAGCGCTTTTCACCCAGACAGTGGCGAAAAGCAAAATGTTTTTGGTCGAATGACGTTCCAAGTACCAGGCGGTATGGCCATAACTGGAGCTATGTTGCAATGGTATCGGTAAGTTATAGAATCATAATCTATGCGCCTACGCACTGGGATCCCGTTGCAGAACGCCCTTCGCGGTAGTCTTTTGGCAATGGGTGAATCAATCCTTTAACGCTTTGGTGAATTACACCAACCGCAATGCGAAATCGCCCACAACAACAACCCAACTAATAGTGGCGTATGTAACGGCCACTTCTTCCGCAATGGGTACCGCTTTAGGTTGCAAATACTACTGGCAGAGGAAAGCTAGCCCTTTCATGCAACGCTACGTCCCTTTCGCGGCCGTCGCGGCCGCCAATTGCGTTAACATCCCTTTAATGCGACAGAACGAGATACTTTACGGCATAGACTGTTCAGATGAGCACGGTAGAGTGGTTGGTCAGTCGAAATTCGCCGCGGTAAAGGCCATTAGTCAGGTGGTAATTTCGAGGATCACAATGTGCGCCCCCGGCATGCTAATACTGCCCGTCATAATGGAACGGGCGGAAAAGTACTCGTGGATGCAGAAAATTAAGGTTCTGCATGGTCCCATACAGGTTATGGCTGTGGGCTGTTTTTTAACATTCATGGTACCCGCCGCATGCGCCCTCTTCCCTCAACGTTGGTAAGTAGCATTGTTGAGGTATACTTGGTGCACCCTAACTTAATGGGAGGTTTTTCTTTTTATAGTTCCGTTAAATTGAGCACACTGTCCCTGCTCGAACCGTCGGCCTACGAGAAAATCAAGCAAAACTGCGGCGATAAAGTGCCGGAAAGGGTTTACTTCAACAAAGGCCTTTGAAGGGCATGCGCTATGCCCGTTCGAGACAATAACATTAGTTTACACTTAGCCGGTTATCGCTTTCAATGGGAAAGTATACGTAAAAAAAATCAAGACTCGTCGCAGTGAGTTGTGATGAATTAATGTGATCTTTTATTTATTTGTACTTAAGCATTAACTTGTTCTCGAATTAGTCGAAAAAGGAGTTTTTTGTTGCAGCAATATTTATTTCAGGGGTACTCGACGTTTTTATCAGGTTGTTAAGTGTTAATCCCGTCTTGGAGCAATAAATTGTTAACTGTTTTTTTCGTCAGGATGACTGGAATGTGTCCAACAAAAAGCCTGTTTTATGGGTTTCATTTCAGTTTAAATACACTTTATATTAAAGAATTGTTTGCCTTATTTACCCGTTATTACGCAAAACTGTGTGGTTAGGTTGGTTCTCTGTGTTCTGTGACATTTTGACATCTACATACTAACCATTTCAATAATTAGACCCTGTTCAATCTGTGAAATAAAATAAAATATTGCTATCAACCATACCATTAACGTCGCAGATAATCAATAAACAATAAAGATGATAAGCTAGATGTGGTGTTTATAGTTCTTTGTGACCTCATTGTACTAATTTTTTGTATCCAGGAGGCCAAGAGACGACCTTAAAGCCGGGTAGCAAGAATGCGTTTTCTACAAATATTTTTAACAGATAAAAATTGCTGTTAAAAATACTTTTTTTTTAAAGGCAGGATACAATTTTTTTCTAGCGAGATGGGCTTTATTATTTTGGGGGAATTTTGTTTTCGCAGGTTGCTTTTTAAATTTTGATACAATAACTTTTTATCGTGTGTTAGTGTTAAATTACTAAATTTTATGCAAAAACGTTTTTGCCAACCATATAAGAGGCGAAACGAGAAAAACGAGGATTTTTGTTGGCTGAATAAAATCCAACACGAATTATTGTGCAATCCTCTTAAATTATTTATTGACTTATTGATATTAATTTTAAATTTTCTTGGTGATAGTTTTGAATAACTACAGTTTTTTAAATAAATTGCCCATTGGCACTTTTCATAATCATATGTTTGGAAGGTCAAACTTTTATCTGGAAGGGATGAGCGTTCGGTCTATAAGAAATTCTTGAACACTTTTGCCTGTGTGATATCTAGTATCTCATGAAATTATATTTAGACCGTTTAGAATCATTTTTCATAGTTAAATGCAGAAGTTTATGAAAATAAAAGCTTTGAGCAAATTTACAAAATTGAAATTAAATGCTAATTTGAGACTATTTTATTATTTTATATTTATATGTAGGTTGTATAGTTCTCGTTGGTGAAGATGTCAAATTTAGTATGAAGTTCACCGAGTGAAGTTTCAAGCAACTTTGGACTCAGTTTTGAGATAAGGAAGGAGGGTGTAGTATGAACCGACATTTCACATTTTGGACATAATGTACGTAAGAAACACGCTCGGCTAGTGGATTTGACATTTTATTGTAATTTAAATAAACTTTGCAGTAAAAAAAATGTTATTTACACCAATACAATATAAATAATATAAAAATACAAACTTTACAAGAGACAACGTGGATAACTAATTCAACAAACAAAACACTAATGGCAGTTCCAACAGCTAGCTCGGCGACTATTTACATAATTATTAATGGTTAGTCGGAATTTTAAAGGGTAAGAATGTCGTAAACGCTAAACCTACTAATTACAAAATGTATGTGTTCCCAAAAACCCGCTCTGTATCGAAAAAATAAATATACAATATCCTCGACAACAGTCTCCGTCAAGCGCGACTCGAATGCGAATACTTGAGGTTGTTCGATTCGATCAGCATCGACGCATCTGACGTCATGCGCGCGTTGCTTCTCACCAGGAACAGCAGGTGGCACTCCTCGTACACGGTGAGCTGCACCCGGGCGCACACGAGCCCGTGTAGCACCGTCGCCCTTTGCAAATCCAACCACCTGTAGAGAGATAAAGAAGTTGAGCCACGTCCACCTCTTTTGCGACGTTTATTAAGGACCTCTGAAGCGTAAGCTCCCTCTCCCTGACCGTACTGCCCAAGGACACGTCCGACGGACCCCACAGGCTAAATTCCAAGATGGACTTGACCTGCGTGAGCGACACCGATCGCTCGTTGCTCAGCAATGACTGGATCAGGGTCGCGGTCTTGGTCGACGGTTGGAGAAGGGACAGGGCTTTGGCGGCGCAGACGCACAGCGTTCCGAGTTTCCCTTCGGTCGAAAATGGGCTCGCGTCAGAGGATAATCTGTGAACGGAGGATGTTAATCGGCTCCCCCAACCGTGTTATTTCAATAGACGACGCACCCTTGCATTATACAAAGCCTATAATGGGTATCCCTGTCGACCTCCCTGCATAGGACGAAGCTGTCGAGCGACAGCGGCAGCTCCTCAACACCCTGCGCCTGCAGCATCTTCAACGCGTTAACCACCTGGAGGAGCACGAAGAACGCGTCCCTGTGGGTCTCGTCCTGGTTGGGTTTGCTCCTCAACATTTCCCCGTAAGAGTCGATCGTGTAGACCTGGAGCCAGGGGAGGACGTGTACGGTGGCTGCAACGTTTAAATAAGATTTTCGGAGCCCGATCCGCGTCTTCGTCGTCGTTCTACCCTGCACTTGTTTCGTGTCGTTCTTGTTCTTCGGATCGGCTAGGTACTCGCGGGGAACCAGATCGTTGAACTCCGTAACCGCGTTAAGACTGAAGGTGCCGAGGGACAGGGTGCTGGACGTCGCGAGTCCCGTGCTAAACAGCAAGGTGACGTGTTGCGAGCCCCACAGTGCCTGGTGAAACGATTTCGCGCCCACAAACACCGGCTGCAGACTAGTCTTGATGGTAAAGTCGGCGAGGCGCAAGTTCGGACTGGTTTTCAGACCCCTGAGGGCCGGCTGTACGTGGACGCTCTGTTGGATCTAAAAAACGCGAATCGTGGAGACGGAAAGCGTCAACCAGAGGACTGACTCACGTTCTCGAGCACCTGAGCCAACGCCTCGTGGTTCGCGACCACCACCGCGCCGTAGTTGTCCTCCAGACTCCGGTGGACGATACTCCTGCCCTTTCTCGAGCGCAGCTTGTGGGTGCGCCCGTTCTGGATCCAGTCGTGGTCGTCTTCGGTCACTTCCGACTCGCTGCCGCAGAAACTGTACGGCGAGTAAATCTCGGACTCGGTCTCGCTGCCGCAGTACGTCAGCGACATGCTCCTCGGTATGTTGCCATACTTGAAGTACTCCCCGGAGACGTCGATACTGCTGTCGGACCTTTTGTTCAGTCTGGCGGTTTTTGCTTCGGGACTGTTTTTACCGCCCCGGCTCGAATCGCTATCGGGACTGCTCGACCTACCGCTCCCGTTGTTGACGTAATCGTAAACGTGTTCCGACGGTTTCCCCACGGGTTCGTAGTGGTGCTTGCGCGTTTGCTGCTGCTGCTGGGCTTCGCGCTCCCTCATGCTCGCCGTTCTCACCGGTTTGTTCGGCACTATCGACGACCTCACTTCGCCTATATTCGCGTAAACGGTCTCCATCTTTTTGTCGACGCTCGAGCCTGAATTGCTCCTCGACAGTTGCCGTTGCTTGTTCAAAATCTCCACCGACTTGGGCGGCGGATGGGTGACCGGTTGCTGTTTCCAGTTCTCGTAGTTGCGGGGCGGCGGAGGCGGCTTCGCCGCCTTCGGCGAGTCTACGGGTTTCGCCACCACTTCCACTTTCGAACCGTTCAGCTCGCTCGGGTGCACTATGACCAGTCTGGGCCTCGGTTTCGGCCCGTCGAGGCCGTCCTCGGAGTCGCCGCTCAACCTGACCAGGTCCTTGCTCGAGCCCATCCTCAGGAACTTCCTCAACGAGAACCGCCCCTTCGATTTCTCCTTGCGTTTGTCTTCGACCAGCAAGTTGTCGGTGGATATCGAGAGCAGTCTCCGGGGGGCGGGGGCGGGCGCCGCGTACTCCTGCGCGTAGATTTTCGGCACGCACGAGGACGCCCTTTCCCGCTTCTCCTTCTCCCGCACCACCGGCGAGTCCGAGTTGACTGATCCGCAAGAGTTCCTCGCGTAAAGCGGCCCCGCCTGCTCCTCGGGCGGCATCGGCGCCCGCCTCTTGTTCGCCTTCGGGTCCGAGTCCGGGTCTTGCCTGTCGACCGGCGCCGGCTCCTTGGAGAACGTGGTGAAGGTCTGGGGCGGGGTCAAAGGTTGGCTCACGCTGATCGCTTTGCGTATAAGCACGGTGGCCGGCTTCGACGGTATTTTGGGCTTCTCGCCGGTCGGCGGGACCGCGCCGCCACTTCCGTGTAGGAACGACGCTTGAGTTTCTAAAGGGGGCGGCGGTGTTAACGGCAAAGCCGGAAGTTCGGGCCGCTCGGGGTCTTCGCTGCCGTCCGGCTTGCCCGCCTGCTCTCTGCTAGTCGGCTTGTCGTCCTTCGGCGGCGGCGATACGTAAGGGGCGGAGTTTTGTATCTCGGACTGTATCAGCTTGGTCGAGGTAACGACGTCACTTTTGATGACTTTGGAGACGTCGTTGTTATTGACCTCGGCCTTTTTCAAGTTCTTAGCGTTGAGGAGCTCGATCTTGGCGGTGGAGGTCTGAAACACGACGGGCTTGTCCAATTTGAGGGCGGGCGCGCGAGCCAAGCTCACCGCCCGTTTGGTCTGCACTTGACCCGTGTTCTCCTTGTTCTTCGACATAATCTGGATGGGGTTCTTGCCGTTCTCCAACGTCTCCGATATTTCGTCCAGTAGCGATTTTTCCCCGTCGTTCTTCGTATAGGATGTGAGCACGACGTTACTATTTCCCGGCGCCTTCGCCGCTTGTTTGCGAGGCGGCGTGTCTTCGCCGAAAGGCGTCACCGACACCAGCAGCGTATGCTTCTTTCCCTCGGAGTCGAGCAGCGGTTTGCCGAGCATCAGCTGCGCGTGGCTGTTCTTTTTTTCCGTCAGGTCGCTCAGCGACACGGTGTTGTAACTGGTATTCTTCTTGGTGAGCTTGCGCATTTCCTTCACGCACTCCTCTTCGTCGGAATCGGTCAGCAGGAGGTCCTCTTCGGAGAGGTCGACGTCGTTGTCGTCGTCGTCCGCTTCTTCGTCACCCGATAACCAGTCTTCGCCGCCGTAGCCTATAAACTGAGTCAGCTCTTTGGTGAACTCGACGGTGAGCTTGGGCTTGCTCTTGGTCGGATCTCTGATGATACCGGCGACGTCACCGTCGGAAACCAATCGGACGACTTTGGGTTTGGCCGCGACGTGCTCATCTTTGGACTTGAAACAGTTCGAGCAAAGCTCCTTCTTCCACGCGTTCTGCACGAAGTTTTGACATATTGCGGACGACATTTTGGCACGGCCTGCAAAGTACAAGTGCCAAAGTCAAATATATGGTGGAATTCGTGAGACTAGCGGAAGAGGACGTCGGACCACTCGCTCCTAGGCCCTCTGTCGATGACGTGGTGTCGTCTAAACCTAAGCGGTTAACTTTTGAGGAAGCCTCCGAAGGCTTAAGCAAGTTGGGCAAAGACGAGACGGGCGCGAGGTACGCTTATTTGAAACTCGATGCGGTAGGCATGAAGCTCACGGACGTTACCGTTGTGCTCAATTTCAAGCACGTCATGTTTTTGGACTTGAGCCGCAACCTGCTCGACTTGGAGGCACTGCAGGTGGTCACCAAGATGCCGTTCCTGTTATTGCTTAAAGCGGAGCGCAATAGGTTAGAGTCCGCGGCTCTAAGCGAGGCTCACTATCTTCAAGTGCTCGATCTGAATTGGAATCGAATCTCCGACACCTCTGACATAAGTCAACCGACGCTAGAGTGGCTCAATTTGGAGTTCAACGAGATTGTCGACGTCAGGTTCGATTCAGAGAAGGTGCCCAAGCTTAAAGAGCTCGACCTAAAGGGCAACCGAATCACGAGAGTGGGAGGAACGTACCCGGAGTCAATCGCGAGGTTATTTTTGAGCGAAAACCAAATCGGCAGGCTCGACGACTTGGCCACCTGCAGGCTTGGCAACTTGACGGCGCTTCACTTGCGAGGCAACAGCATAAGAAAGCTGGACGGCTTCACGGAGTCGTTAAAAAACCTCACGTACTTAAACCTGAGGGATAACCTCGTGGGGAAGTTGAGGGAGTTCCGGAAACTGTCCCGCGTGCCGAAGCTAGACACGCTGATTGTTTCCGGGAACCCACTAGGCGGGCCGAGAGTATTGAAGAGCGAAGACGACGAAGAAGTGCTGCAGGAAAGTTCTTCGGGAGAGTCGGAAGAAGTGCGAATAGGATTATTGGTTTTGTTGCCTCGTCTGGTCCGTATAAACAAGGACAGAGTTACGCTCGAGGAGTCGCACGAAGCGCTGGTGGTGAGAGAAGAGAAATTGCCGCGGATAATGAAGGAGTCGAGCAGCGAAGAGGAGGAGGAGGAGGTGTTGGAGTCGACTACGTCGACGGGAGAGTACTTTAGCGAGGCGGAGGAAAATGACCTCGACGAAAAAGAATTCGCCGATCCTCGAGTGGTACGGGGCGAGGGAGACGAGTGAATGTTGTTTTTATAGGGGGGGCGATGAAAATAAATCGGTTTTAAAAGGAGCAGTGTGCGAAACGAAAGTTTCCGATACCTTCGGGGCCATTTTCGTCCGGATTGCGAGAGAAAACCGGTAGAATAGGTTAATAAAAAATGAAGGAGGTAAACAAATAACCCGTCCATCTGGCGTTGAGACGGACGGAACCAATTAGGTATAGATACGTCGTTTACGGAAAAAAGTCGCGGTCGTTTAGATCGACCAATACTGCCGGCTCCAGTCTCTAAGGTTTCTTGACCTGGAGGCCGCGTGCCCGACCAATCGGTGCCGATTAAAGACCCACGACGACGCACCGCGGGTTATCCCCGTCATGCGACGCTGCCACAGCGTCAAATTTACTGTCGGAAGTGCCGGATAAAGATTTTAGTTTTCGTTTTTTTTTGCATAGAAACAATTTTAATGCCTAACAACAAAAGAAAACTGGTAAATCCCGAATTAAATGAAGTCTCAGGCGGAAAAAATATTAAATCTTCCCTGTAAGTAAAATTGTGCATTCATATGATTTTTCGACATCAAAAGAACAGCATACCGGTTCGAAATCAAAAAATTACGCAAAAGTTCATTTAAATTCTCGTCTTTTTAGCTTTGGTTAGATTGGTTAGGGAACACTTTAGGAAAATAGCAGCAATATGTTCGCATTCGCATTATCGGTCCGTAGAGTAGACACAATTAAAATTGCATGTAATTGTTCGTGTTATATTTTCCATAAAGAAGGATAATGCTAAACAACATTTGAAATATTTATTTTCCGCCATGTTTGTTTACTGTCAGCGGCGCTAGCATCGGAAACTTGTGGCACTCGCGTCGATTTTGAACGGTGTTATTCTGTGATCGGACTTGCCGGAAGTGGCAACGTCGCTCGCCTCGGAGCCGGTTTCCAAGAAAGAATAAATCGTCCCGGGTGTTTGTGCGGTCGCCGTCTGCGACACATAAAGGAGTTTCATTCAGAAGAGGCTTTTTTTTTAACGGGACGACAGGTCTTTTTTTCGCGTCTGCAAGTAGTCACACGGCCAATGCAGGAACGTCACAACCGATTAGTCAATTGACGCGGTAGGGCGTGACGAAGTGCTTTTTTAATCGATCTAATAAAGGAAATGATAGGGGACCCTCTTTATCCCGTCTACTAGAAAAAATATTCCTCCTCACGAAAATAAATCATATACCGGCAAACATATGAGTATGGACCGCAATAATGGCAACGCTGTAAACGACCGTCAAGCAAAGTTTCGAAAATGTGGTGGGTTTGTCATAACTGCGGTTTTCGCAGCAATAAAAATAAAACAAAGGTTAAGAGGCGTAGTTTATTTAAAATTAATTTTGATATACTGACGATTAATTTGAACAGTTGTAAAAATGCCTACTCTAATGGCGAACTTGTAGATAATGCCGTTTGCGCTCAATTTTCTTTTTTATCTGAACGGTGATTTTATAACACTAACTTCAACATCACCTTCAAATTAGATTAAGTACTTATAAGCTGAAAATGCATTAATGTAATGAAATGTAAAAAAAATCATACAAAATCTGGTGTGAAAATGTAATAAAAACATATTTAAGATGTAAAAATAAACTCGTGCCATGCAGGCTAAACTCTGGAAAACAATCAGTGCAGTGAATGGGATACCAAAACATATTTTGTATTCTTGTGTATATTTTATTAAAAAATAAACTAAAAGAAACCTGCATTTATTTTAAGTAACCATATTGTCTAAAAATCGCTATGTAAACTTTGTTAGTTTTTAAATACGACGTCGTTTTTAAATGAAGTTAACTACTCAAAGAACAAACTTAAGAGTTTGTCGCTGATAACCTCCAATTTATTAACGTACCTTTAAAAAAAAGGTGGTTGTTTTTAAATAGATCCGGTCCGCCGAAGATGGCGATTTTATTAATTTTGCATTTCACGGTTTGGAAGCAGCAACAACTGCGACTGACTCAGACCTGACCCGACTGGTTACTCATCCATATTGGGTACGTATCGTTTCGTAATAACGCGAGCCGTCACTATTTACTCACCTCAACTATATAGCATCGTACGTGCGCCTTATCGGCGATGGGCGGAGTCGAAACCTGGAAATAATGAAAACACGAAATCAATCGGGTACACCTACGACACATCGTAAACGATGTTCGACATTATGTCGTACGAAGAGCTGATTGGAAGTAAAAAACGGTAAAAGCATATGATCGTACACACACGGGCATAATAATCGCATAAAGGCGGCCGTGGACGACGGGAAACACGTTCGCGATGGGACGACAATTTAACGGCGACGCGCGGCACTTTCAAGGCGATGAACACGACAAAACAATAACCCATTGTTTAAAAATATACCCACCGTAGCCGCGAAATTAAAAAGCGACGCCCGATTCGGAGGATTTACAATTGGAAAATTAAAAAAAGGCTTCCACGCTCGCAGCCTTCAATTTGTAACAGTTCAATGGCGATTTATCTTCGCTTCGTTTTTTTTTCGGTTTTATCCGGACAAAGCGCTGCGTACGTGAGTGCCCTTAAGGCTCGCTGACCCACATTATGGGGTACGTTATGTTTGCTATTCTTCTGCTGAATCTCGACTGGCCACATTTGAAATATATCTTTAAGCTTCGTCGTACCGCGGTCAAAAAGTTACGCAGAACACCGTGTGGGGTACAATTGTACCCCACTTTAATTTGAACGCTTTGATATTTTATTCCCGTAGATATACACTGTAACAAAAATTAATGTAAATAAAATATGTATAATTCATATTATATTTATTGAAAAAGTTGAACAAAATAAACAATTCTTAAAAATGTTTAAAAAAAAGTTTAGACGAACTCCTCTACTCTGTTTTACGCTATCAGTGCATGTAAATTTTTTGCAGTCGCAACATTGTTGCCTGGACTTGCGCACAAATAACATCGTCCAGAAACAGGTCGTTCGGGTCCTTCGGAATGGATTTCATGGTACTTTTCCAATTCTGTATTATCTTCTCTATATCTTCTGTGTATTATATTCTGTATTATCTTTTATCCGATAAAATAATCTACCTTCTTCTAAGAATTCTTCACTATCGTCAGTCTCTATTACACTGCTCACAGCACCACTGTCATTTTCTTCTTCTATCATCACATCTTCAGACACTATTTCAGTGACTAGAGCAACACCGTTATTATCATTTCCGGAACATCATCACTATCTTGCGAATATTTATTTGATCAGACATTGTGTAACATTTCACGCTAGCGTTATGATTTCAAAAATTAAAAATGTCTGACACCAGCTGATATTTACTGTATTGCGCATGACCGTGACTATCAAAATGAGTATCTTGGCATACCATACGGGGTACAAGTGTACCCCACATTAAAAATATTTTTTTATTGACTTTTTTGATGCACGTCATAACTAAAATATACAGAAAATGAATCTTTAAATACTAAATGACAATAAATAAAATTGCGGAACCCTTGTGTAAAGTTTTTAAAAAGATATAAGAAAAATTGAGTTGTTGTAAATTATGAACTAGTACTGGGTATAAACTCATTATTTTAATAATAATAATAATAATAATATCCCGACTTATGCTGACGATTAGAGGGTTCGTTTTTATTCGGCTTGCACATTTGAATAATTATTTTATTATTTTATTATTATTAGACGTACTTTTTTTACTTTAAAGCCGGGAGAACCCAAATTTATTCGAATTCGAATAACGAAGTCTTTATTACAAGTTCTGATAGGGATTATAGATATCAGACGATCCCAGACTTTTTTGCGTTTTCAACCTGGGTTGTGCTGATTTTAATCAAATCAATCCATCGCGATTAAAATCATGATTTAAATCACCTCATTACTTTAATTTAAAATCATGATATTATGAAGTATGAGGTTTTCCCGAAGTATCAATAGTTTCGTAAAAAAGGGCTCGTCCATCTTCATGTCATCGAAAGTTCGAATTAGTCGAGATAATTGCATTGCTGTTTGCTTGTCAATCTTTTCTTTTTCAGCTGTTGATGTTCGCATTACGAAACTAGTCAAATTAGGCTCATTTTCAGTTTTTTTTCTTTTTCATTGTTTGGACTTGGACGCATTCGATTGTCTAAAAAGAAAATAAAAACATAATTTATACATTTATACCATTATTAATAAATGATAAACCAAATACGCGCCCAATTTTCCTTTAAAAAATCAGTAAAGGATTTATTGGGTTTTATTAAATTTATACGGTTAACTTTGTTTTTAAATACGTTGAAAAGCAGAAAAAGAAATTATACGATATGAATTCGAAATATTTTTTTTATGTACCGTAGGCATTCACATAAATAAAATTTTGACAAGAAACGACAAAAAGGAAATTTTTTAAATAACGAATGCCTTAATTCTTTTGAAAACTTTTTTGAATACGCTTCTACGTTTTTGCGAGATGGAAAGTTAAATAAAAATGAAATAAGTAAAAATAAAACAAAATATTATTTACCTACCTGTGTTTATCACAAACATAATGGTGTGCTTTAGGTCTTCGAACTATCCCTCGAATTTCTTTCCTTCTGATTTTTTCTTTTTTTTTTCTATTTTCACTCAATGCTCTATTTTCCACTAGTTCCACTCCTTTGACAAACCACCAGCCAAATACGCGAGACGTATTCGACAACGACAATTTATAGATCGGTCGCGACAGAAATTTTCTTGCGCGTTCTGACGAATACTTAATGAGTATATTGTACTATACTGTTTGTAGCTTTAAAATATTTTGTAATTGCTAAAAAAATCAATTGATTTTGATTTGAAACCACAAATATCCATATTACTACTTAATGACGTAAAAGATTCACAACAAACAATCTGACGGGCATGCGCAGTGAAAGTCGTTGGTAAAGGTTGGACAGAATAAAAAATGGTAGGTTGGCAACCCTGGTCCGGCAGTCGTACCACCGGTAGTGCTCGCTAAACCGCGACCAAATCGCGACGCATTAAAGAAAAACCCGATTTTTGAATTGAAAAAAAAAATAAAACAAACGATGACCTCGCGTCACGGCCAACTGACGCGCGGTTGAATTTATTGCACGCCACGGTTGGACTTCCATTAATTTATTCTGCAGCGTACCCGCAGCGCTTGCACAATAACCCCAGCGTCCACGTATGGCGCTGCTGCGGTATTTAGCAACGCACGAAACGGAAATTTTGCAAAACATTTGTTTAATTCGATAATAAATTAAAAATAGTAGAAAACAAAACGCGCTCGCTCAGACCGGTGCGAACGAACTATGAGCAAATAGAAAACGAAATGTCAACAAGATTTCGTTTATTTATTGAAGGCATTAACGCGGTGCCCCGCTATCACGCCGATTTTCCCATGACTTTCCTCGTAGAGATATCACGAAACACATCTAGTTATCGCCCAGTATATATCAAGTAATATTCTAAAGCTTTGTTCTCTCCATTCTTGGCGGTAACATTTTATACCAGCTGTCCTGTGATTAATATTGTCTCTTTACTTCAAACGAGAACCAAAAAATATCTTTTCCGTTTTCGTGAACCGAAATGAAATAACGGTTAAAACCGGGTTTTTACTATTTTTCTAGTAAAAGTATTATGCCTACATGCTTTTTTATTTTTTTTATATTTGACAATAAGTCACTTGTCATAATTTTAACCATAGCTGCCAAAAATTACTAACATAAAATTTATGCTTTTAAAAACTTAAGTAAACGTTAAAAAATTTGATCAACTGCATTGTAAGTGGTGACGGCATTTTTGATTTTTTATAAATATTAAAAATTAAATTTAGGAGCCGTTTCTGTATTGGAAGGGCACGAATCTGTTTTAGTTTCATTGCCTAACCTATTTTACAAATAGAAAGGTTCAAAACTGAACTGAAACAAAATACTTACGTGCGCAAAATATAAAAATGGCGACTATTCATCAGCTGTTTTTAGATCGAGAATGGTTATTACATTATTAGCCCTCATGAAACAATACAATACAACAAAAACAATTTTAAGCAGCTTTTAAATTATGGACATTTCCGAGATTTTACCGCACGGTTTAGGAAGCAATTTGATGTTTTCGGAGATTTTACCGCACGGTTTGAATTTTGACGTTGTCGATTCTGACGGTTATGTCAGTGAATGTATTCGTGTTGTTTTGCAACAATGTACCCAAAAACTAATACACAGAAAAATGGCATGCAATACATCAGACAATTTAAATACTACGTGCTATAAGCTACAATTAAAATCTAGTGGACTAGTCGGTAAGTAAAGTGACATTTATAATTTAAGTTACCTACAGAAATTTTACATACCGTTCGCACGAATTTAGCGGTTTTTACATTATTATATTAATATCTTGCCAAAACCAATTGTACCATTTTTGAACATCCATGTCTCGGTACAAATAAAACAAAATTGAAGGTTAGGAACTGCTTTTCTTAATTATAAGATCCCTAAAATTTAATCCTCTTAAAAGTTCTGTTCTTGGCTGATTTTTCTTCAAATTGCAGTCTTTTTCTTTAAGTAAACTACTTAATGATCAATTGTAAAAGTTAAATAAACATATCAAGCACTCGCTCCCCTCGTGCCAAATAAACTCATAAGTCAAATGTCGTTTACCACACTTTTTGCATAATAAACATGATCAAAAGTCACAGTAATCCTTTAAAGGCAAAATACAGATCAAGGTACCGTTAATGTTCGATTATTTCTGTTTTGTTTAAAAAGGTTCCTATCAGAATTCTAACCTCTAAATTTATGGGACCACAATCTAAGAATTTATAAATGGTAGCGAGATATGAAATCCATATACAATATGAAGAATGTAATATAAAATAGATATGGCAGCTTGCAACATAGGTGACGAATGACCGGCACTTTTTTTCCGTCGCCACCGTTACATACAAATCAACTGTAGAGGCGTTTCTTTCTCATTTCTCTATGTCGACCAAGGTTTGAATAGATCGCTCCGCCCCTAGCGATAGGAATAATGACTCGAGCAGAAAATATAATAAGTATTCTTGACCGCGGGGGCTATTTATTTTATTTTTCTCCAAATTAATTATGCGACGCATAATCTATTTACGTAACACGGTTACATACATGCATGTACCGTTTTTTTTTACCGACCTTTTCTCGTAGTAAAATATTCGCCGGCGATTGTCAAGGTGAAAACAAGTGATTTCGAATAATATTAACCGGTTTTTTTGTGTTCGACAATTTCCTAGGGTTACACAACAAATTCCTGTCCTATTTTAATTGATCTCGTTGCATATTTATGTGGTACGCGCGGCACCGACCGGTTGTCAGTTCCGTCGCCTCGAGGCACGCCGAACTACTTCCAAATAATCACGAAAATATTGAATTCACCAATGCAAACTATAAGATAACATAGTGGGCCCTGTTACGGTAAAAATTGATGCGTCGCAGGTGGCTTAGGCTCTTTTGCGCATGCGTCACGCACTTGTATAGTTTGTGCTTTCAATGCTTACATATTTTTTACTACTGTGGCCCATAAAATATTAGAAACTTTTTACGAAACTACTGCCAGGCGATCTGATTTCAAAATTTCCCTGATTTCTTCACGGGAGGCCGAGCAGGTCAAAATGTCTTTGAATAATTCGAAAGCTTTAGACTTTTTTCGTTTGAACAGTAGGATTACTAAAGAATGCTGGCAATGTAATAGTTTTACCATTAACTGACATAATAAATAGGTCTAAAGTTGTGCCAATCTATAAGAACGGTGAAATGTCTGATTCTAATAATTAAACAACCGTATCAATTAGCCCAATAGTTTTTAAAGTTTTAGAAAAAGTGATGTATTCTCTACCATCTTATTATTTAGAGTCAAATAATTTGATAAATCCAAACCTGTTTGGAAAGAAGCAGTTTTTTGCAATAATAAAATGTCAGGTTTGCGGAGTTCCACAAGGTTCCATTATAGGTCCATTATTGTTTTTAGTTTATATTAATGGACCCTGTGGCTGCGGTTAATTTTGCAGATGACTCTACATTTAAAACATCAAACACAAGTAGAAACACGGTTGGCGAACGAACATGCCAACATGTGGTTTAGATCGAATTTTCAACAAATATAAATATTTCGGAAGGAAAATCTGCAAAGATGTCGTGTGTGGTCCTGGATGCTAGGCTCTCCTGCAAGGACCATATTGCTTATTCAGCAAAGCGCCTCTCAAGTGTCAACTTTTTGTCAAATTTAACCGGAAAGAATTATCTAGTCTCGAGCTACTATGCTCTTTTTCATTCAATTTTATCATATGTGGGGAAACTCAACAGATTCCATAAACATTTTTTGATGTAAAACAGAGCGATCAGAATTATATCCAACGTAGGATATAGAGACTATTGTGGACCGTTGTTTCAGAATCTCGCCATCGGTATACATGTATCACACGGTATTAGATTTTCACAACTCAAAAAAATTTCAGTTCACTCTGATAATCATGAATATCCCACGTCCTCCTCAAATTTGCTTCCAACTAGGAAGTTTAAACACACTAAAAGCATGAAAAGTTCTCTTGACCATAATAAAATCTTTCTTTTTTTGGAGCAGTGTTTTTAATCTGTAGAGAGGAATACAAACAGAAGATAATAGTATTCACGCGTTCATTAGACACGAGATGAGCGAGTTTTTAATAGCGGCGATAGCAGCAATCTACTCATTGCAGCGTTGATAGCCTAACAAGAGCCCTTTTCGACAATTTCAAGTTTGACAAAATGCGTTCAAGCGTTCCGCTATGGACGCTTATTTCCGGAAATGTTCGAACACCTCCCATCACTTTTTCTTAACGGATAGAGCAAAAACAATTTAATGAGAAAGAATCGAATTTATACTAGTCGTATGACAGTGTAAACCGTAATTTAAGATTATTTCTCAAAAAAAAGATATTTACAATTCTAAATTTACTTCTACAGATAGGCCGGGGTGTCCTTAATTGGTCAGCCGGTACAAACCCTTTATCGTTCACTGACATGACCGTCAGAATTGACAAACGTCAAAATTCAGACGGTGCGGTAAAATCTCCGAAAACATCCGATTGCCACCAAATCAAGAAGTTTGCGTGGTAAATTGACGCTTCCCGCGCCTTAGATTGTTGTATAATTAAGTATTTCACGGAGGTGGGTAGAAAAACAACCATACCTCTGTGGTAATTCAAGAAAAAGCCATAATAATTTATATCAAAAGTTAGAGAGAGTATAATACTCGTAATTTGTTGATTTTTTTTTTGGTAAGGTGTTATTTAATGAAAAATTGTTGCTACGATTGGTTATTAAAAATTACGTTTACTGCTTTTCATATTACTTATGTATATATTTAATAATTTTTGTTCCGGAAGTGTTTTTTTTTTTCAATTTATTTACGCAGTACCCCTTTAATTTTTTTTTACATAAAAACAATATCTCGAAATGTCAAAATGACAGCAGAGCGCCATTTTTTGTTAATTGTAAGAAGGGTTATGTGATGCCTCTTTTTTAAAGTTCTACAGACCTAAATTCTGCTTTTTGTTGCAATTGTTGACTTCTTGACTTCATACCGCTTAAATCATTTGCTAAGAATTGAGTTTTTTTCTCTTATATGTCCGATGAACTTACCAGAGCAGAAATAATCATGCCCATAAGTTCCAATGACAACGGAATGGGGTTCTCTACGTATCAGTAAACTTGCAGTAGGCTGCCAGTCTACCAGATTGGTGGAGAATATCATCAATATGTTCGCACCAAGTAAGCAATTGATCATCTCGCCTATCTCGCACGCTTCACTGTAAATTCCCTGACAATGTCTAAGTCGTAAAGTATACTTTTTCTACGACCGTTAGTTTTTGGGTACATTTTAGCAAAACTACACGAATACAGTCACTGACATGACCGTCAGAATCGACAAACGTCAAAATCCCAAGCTTGGAAAATATCTCCGAAAACATCAGATCGCTGCCAAATCCGTGCGGTAAAATCCGGGAAATGTCCGAAATGGCTCGGATTCGTGGGAAACGAAACTGACGTGGTAAAGTGGCGCTTCCCGCACACTAGATCGGTGGGTAATTAGGTATTTTACAGACGGGAGTAGCAAAAAGATATTAACTGATTACCCGATTCTTGATGGTGGTCACTGTTTGGGGTTGTGTTCGGTATCTTACTCTTTTTCTTTTTTAATTTTTATTCCTGTTTGTTTTTACGTGTAATGTATTACGTTGTTATACCTATTATTATTGTAGACTTTATCTAATCGTATGTGGATATGCATGTATACATATGTATATAATTGTTTTTAGGTACACTTAAATAGCTACGAATTATGTTTGGGTAATATGTATTAATGTGGAAGATGCATTTTTACTAGAACAATCATAAGAAAGGGTTATTTCTTATTCAATTCATTTATTCATCTATAGGAGGTGCTTCTACAAGACTTGAAGAACAAAAACGCCGAATTAATTACACAATACTGCCGTAAAAATGCCGCATCCAAACATCGACGATCTGTCAGCGGCCATATTGTTTGTTGGAAGCCGCAAGGCGCGTGGGTCCTACGTCAGAATTTGTCAGTAGAGCTGCCATTGGTTAAAAATGAAATTTTAAATCTCGCGCATACGCACGTTGACACATAGACAGGGATATATAAGTTTACCAGATAACATGGCGAGACGTCAGTAGAAAGAACTGTGCTGCGCAAAAACGAAACAATAGCGGGCACGATGTAAGAAAAGTTGGACGGGGTACAGTTACAAAATTCCAAAGACTTGGGAAGGTTTACATGCATACAAAGTCACGTCACGTATTACGCTTTGAACGTTAAAAACTGCGATGCCGTACGATAACTGATACGATGTCTAGATTGATTTATCTCCTCCGTAAAAAGGTGCAAAATAATCCAACCGTTTGTGACTTCATAAACAATAACGGTGTGTGCTCTAAGAGACCACTCTTCGTTAAATAACGACGGGTATGTTCGGATAAATTGAAAAATTCAATGAATCCTAATTCGAAAATACCAAACCGTGGAAAAAGCGAACTTCTAATCAAAACAAGAGCCGGTTGGATGCGGTTATTAATTTCAGCGAGTTTTTTAATTACATGCTCGCGAGGCGGCCGTGGAAGAAAAAAGAAAGTCGCCTCGACGCGCGGCATATTATTTAAAACAATTACGAAACGTCTTTTTTAACGGCGCGACATAAAAACCGCTCGTTAATTAAGACTTTTTCTTTTCGATTGTATATATAGAAGCGAAATTTTTACGCGTTTGTAATAATAATTAGAATTATTAGGTGCATAAAGAAATAATTGGAAAAATCGGATCACACAGGTGGCGCTGACCGAATTTAAGACGGTCAACGCGTCGAATCAAGTTACGACGTCGGTTTTCGTGTTTGAAATGCGATTAGAGAATAAGCCCGGGGCTAATGTCGCGTCGTTTCTCGACGTTGCGGTATGCGAAAAGGGGCAAGAAATAAACTAAAATAAACTACACGCATTTCGGCAGACGTTTTGGGTGAACGCACGAGTCCAAAGATAGCTTCGGACATGGGCGTAGACTGTGGGGCCACTTATCAAATGTGTAAAACGGAGAAAGAAGAAAATTATTAAAGACATGATAAGAATATTCAGATTTTCCATTGGAACCATGAACTCGTGACGTCTTCTTTCGAGTTAGTTTTGTTTTTATATTCAATGACTAAAAGTTTTAAATGATAAGTTTAATTGGATAATGGTTATAGCCTTTAAAGACAAACACTTTCGCCATTTACGCCAGGTAACGTAGTCCTTAAACTTAAGTAAGATACCCATTTTCGCGAAAATTCGTCTTAGGTGAGAGAAATATGGTTTACAATAGAACTGTGGTCTGTGGCGCCCTATATCACAGAACACGAATCAAAGTCGTTGGTTGTGCATAATTGCCAGCGAATTGGATTTAAACTGGAATGGCAACGCCGTGATAGAAAAGTGAGGCAAATTTTATCAAAGAATATGGAGATTATTATCATTCTTTTGCTCATTTATATAAATGGAAGATTACTTCGTTTGTCGATATAATTCTTATTGAAATCATTTACTGGTGATCATATCAATAATTTTAAGCTCTTTAAAAACTGCAAAAAACGAGCATATTTATATGTACACTTCAAAACTCAAAACAATGAAGCTTTTGTAACTTAAATAACTATGTATTATTTCAAAAAGAAACTTAATATGCGCACGTCTACTTACCTAAATATGTATATTTAACCGATATTTTTTATTTCTTGAAAAAGGAAAAAAATTTAAATATTCTTTTCGGACTGTTATGTATGACAATCCAATAAGTAAAGAATATCGAAATAAAATAAATAAGAACTAAAATATTCTCACGAAATTATATATTTTCACATGGCAAATGTCGGACTTTTATGTATGACAATCCAATAGGTAAAGAATATCGAAATAAAATAAATAAGAACTAAAATATTCTCACGAAATTATATATTTTCACATGACAATTGTCGGACTTTTATGTATGACAATCCAATAGGTAAAGAATATCGAAATGAAATAAATAAGAACTAAAATATTCTCACGAAATTATATATTTTCACATGACAATTGTCGGACTTTTATGTATGACAATCCAATAGGTAAAGAATATCGAAATAAAATAAATAAGAACTAAAATATTCTCACGAAATTATATATTTTCACATGACAATTGTTTCGACAACACCGTGTCTTTATCAAATGTAATATTTAGAAACTACCTCCTACTATGTATTCCGAAAAATGACAATAAAACCTAAATTAATGTTGTGAGAATTTAAGTTTAATAATACATTTGAACGTCTCATTTTGTTAATCTCCATGGCTTCCAATAAATTAAATTTTCTACTTTTTGTGGCTGTATGTAAAATATCAAAATTGTCGTCAAAAATGTTTTTTCTGTGTTTAACTGTTTAGCATAATTAGAATCTAGACTATTGTTTTTAAACGCTCTTTTATGTTCGTTAATGCGTTTCTTGAAGGATCTACCTAATAAGCCACAGTTCAATTTTCGAATATCGAATTCATTTTTATTTGTAAAAAAGACGTCCCAATAAACATAATAAAATTTGTCTCCCAAAATCGATATTTTCTGAATAAGAGCGACACTATTGTTCCAAATGTAAAAATTAAAACTGCCCGCCTACGACGCTGAGTGTCTGAGTCCCGAAATAACTCACTCGACAGCCGGAAATTCCTTCGGGATTTAGGGAAAAAATCGTTAAGGAACATCGGGCACGTCATCGCGTACCCTAGGAAATAAAAAATCAACCATTAGTCGAGGCTTCAATCGAGATCGTACTTTTTCTTCCCCCGAGGCGCAAATCTCTTCGCCGATTTAACGCGACGACCGGTTCCGCCGAAGAAAGTTCTAAAAGTGGGGTAAACGTTTTCCCCACGGGGCTTTTCAGCTTTCCTGGCGCGACCTTGATCTAGGTCGCTTTTTTGGAAACAACTCACGGCCTCCTCGATTAGGTAAATGTCACCGCGAACGTCGCCCACCCACCGGCAACCACTCCCCATTGCTACATACTATAACAATTAGTAAGTAAGTGCTTCCCATCTTTCAAATCGAGTCGCCATTATTCGAAATCGACGAAGCGATTCGAACAGGCCCATAACCAGGGTCGACGACCGTCTCTTCGACCACAATTTGCCCCTTCGTTTCCAGCGGTCGAGGGATATTCCGGCGAAACGGCAACGTCGCTCACTATTTCGTGTATTACAGTATACAAACTTATTAACCACATAAAATTGCAAAATAAAACCTGCAGAAAATTTGACAACTGTATCACTGGTATCACAAAACAAGTCACATGGGCAAGTCAAATTTCATGTACGGTTAAGTTTAAAGTTGGTTACTTTTTCTTACCTACCAAGTTACCATAAACATCCGATGATATTTATATAGATTTAACAGGATTAAAACCGAAATGTTAAACGAAACTGTACCTTATTTCTGAATTCCTTGATGAAGCTGGTTCAAAATCAAAACTGATTATGTTTCAACAGATTAGAGACAGCCCAGCAGACCTAAGGCCCAAAACGTAACCTCAAACTTGCGGTTGGTAAAACTGCCGTCTGTACGCACTGTCAAAAACGTTGCAAAAAATCAGTTATCTGGTGAGTAAAGTGAAATCGAAAGACTTCGAAAAGAAATAAAGAAAACGGAAACAAGGAATAGCATTTCCTAAATGTCTGCAATATTGTTATTGATCTTCAATGTGCCAAAAAGAATGGAATAATTCCGGTCGAAAGCGTACGAAAAGGACAACAACAGGCAATTAGGATTTATTATTTACTTGTTTGTGTTTATTTGGGAGGAATTCGGCATAATGCTAACGGTAAATTACCAACAATTACGAAAACGATAGAAATATGCTTATTTAATTTGCTTAGCCGTCGCAAAAACAGTGCGCGATCGTTAACCTTGTCCAAAGTTCATGAAAATCGCGCTTACTTTCCCTTAATTCGTACGTAAACGTCTTTTGTTCGGCGGTTCGACGTTTTTATTAATCGACGCATATAAACAAACGATTCGAGAAAGCCATGGGAATATTCCGCCGTCCTCTCTTTCTTTTTTCTCGATAAAACGCGTCTACCCCATATACGCAGCGGAATGCGTCCGTCTATCTATATAACTAGCCGGCAAATTAAAATAATGTATTTATTCGAAAGCAAGGCCGCGTTTTACGGTTCTCTCGCATTTTATTACAAACATATTATGGTAGTTATAACGCGGCGAATATGCGCTTGCAATAATGTTTACTGTTAAATAACACTATAAACGGGCCGTAAATTAATTCGCGCGGAGGGGGCTTGGCTTTTAATAAATACGCCACCGATTGTGGTTACGCAACGGGCGTAATTTTTGTCAATCGGAAACAATGGCGTACCTACTTTCACCGGACCATCTTACTCCCGGTTGCATTCTCCAAGGTTGCGGCAACAATGTGACCACTTCCGTTCGGATCTGTTCTAATTTGTCATTTCGCAACGGTGGCGTTGGCGTTTCGGCGCATCATCATCATCCCTCGTCGACCATTTCGCGTCGATTTAAATCGATTGAATCTCGTGTCCGTCGATCGGAAAAAATCTAGAGTGCCGATGTGCTCTGTGTGTTCCGTGCCTCTGGCGTGGACCACAAAACGCCCTTTTCGTATTAAAAAAATAGTCACAGACACTTATTAATGGGTATGTTACGACGAAAGTGGGTCAATAAAATTTTCTGCGAAACAAGCCGATTCGAGGAAAAAAAAATGAGCGGCGCTCGTACACAAACTTTTTAATTCGATTTTAACGCAAATATTAAACCGTAATTGGCGAACGCGCTAAACTAAATCGCCCCAATTAAGACTTAATTGAATCGGATTAATAACTATACATGCAGATAGATCTGGAGCCGCCGCAATTAGCGGAACTGTTGGTTTTTTTTTAATTAACCCCGACTCGCTGCGATAAACAAGGTGATCGGATACGGTTAATTATAAACGACTTATTAGACGCCCGCGGGTGGTGAGAATCACAACAAACTAACCAAAAACGGCGACGGATTCGATTATGGTGCGAAGCCAGCTTTGTTTACGAAGGATGCGAATTGTCACGGTCGGCGATGAACCCATACAGCGGAATGTCACCGCAGATCAACAAAAGGCAATAGCGACACGTTAATCAAGTAAACTTACCGCGACGTCTTTGTATTAATCCGATTACGATTTTTGAAGAGCAGACTCTGGATCAGTACGGCACAACCTCACCACCCCAACTTGTTGACAAAACACTGAAATGTCGTGAGCGCGTTTGGAACCGGCACCGTCGCTGCCTACCGCCGGTGTTTCAAAAATGCCACTCTTCGAGCTCTCTCTTTGCTCGCGGTGTGTCTAGGCAGGCGGTGCGTGGTCTCCCCCACTCACACCCGCCGTCAAAGTGCCATCACGGGAAAAGTAAACCGCGGTGAACGGTTAAATATCCAACGACAGTGGATATTTATTTATTCGAGGTTTATGAAAATGTAACTAGTAACTTAAGTTGGGCGCGTACCTTCCAACATGGGAGAATACGGTCGTACCTGTAATATGCGGTACCATCGAGTAAACAGAATTTTGCGGAAGTGTAACCTATGCGTCACGAATCGAGCCCCTACCTTTTTTCAACGAAGCATTGAGCAATTGGCAAAACCAAGACTCAAAAAATCTGTAACCGATAACACCTTTTTCAGTAAAAACTTGTCTATTTAATCACGTCCTGTCGTTATTGAGGTGGCGCAATCTTTTGGCGAGAAGACGAATCGCGCGTAATCAAAGTTTCCCTATTGTGTGAAGGGAAGATGTATAGACATGTAAATTAAAACACAGTGGAACAGATGTTTATAATTCTATTTTGGTCTGCGGATGGGCACACAATGACCGATATAAAAACAAAAGTAATTTTATTCCTAAGACAATAATTGGGAAATAAAAAACGAATTAATTTAAATAGAGAAGGACAAAATCGCAACAGAACCGGGACGTTTCCAATCACTTAGCGCTAGGGTCGGAAATTAGCGCGTTAGCTAAGTCAGTCATTTTGGGGTACTTTACGTTCTTCGCGTTCAACTTTTCCTGCGCCCAAAGTATCAATTTTAATAGAGTGGATATTTTGGGGGCCGTGTTCTCCTGGTGTTCCATTTTTAGTATGGCGGCATTCACCTCGCTGGCGACTTTCTGCCTGTGAGATGGGGCCAGCAGATCGCCGAAAGGGCTGTTGATGGGATCCTCAAATGCTAACAGGGCTATAGTCCTTTCCAGCTCTTGTAAAACGGATGGGTCTTCTTCTCCCGCTTCGCTCAGGTGATTCTGGGCAAAAGCCAAGGCTTCTTCGATCTGATTGTTCCTTATCAACTCTATAAGATGCAACTGCTGCAGGTGGAAGTACAAATACCTGTCGTTATCGAGCAGTTCTGCGTGTAACTGGTTAATTAAGGTAGTGGCTTCCTCTATCCTTCCATTCATGATGGCGTCCCTTATTCGCATTCTGTCGTCCAATGAGTGTAAGTTTACCGAAGGTGCTACGCCCGACTCTTGTTGAAACTTCTCCGCCGCCTCTTTGAAACCTTCAGTCACCAAATAGTTCATTATTAACTTGTTCATGCTAGTGCGTCCCACGTCGTTGTCTTCTAGTAGTTTTATCCATTCGTCTTTTGATGGGATATCGTGTTTGTCGTAGCTCATGTTGCGGACGCGGATAATTTTTGGAGGAATTCGCTTTCTCTTTTCCAAAACATTAAAGGAATGATAAAACTTGACAGCTGGTTTTGGTTAGGCAAGACCATGAACACACGTTCATGGTTTGGCCATGCTGTAACTGTTACGTTTTTGGAAAACGTGCGCGATAAGAAACTCCAAAAATGCATCTAAAAATGCCCCTAAATAAATGCTTAATGTAGCCTTGACTTCGAAGTTTTACAATTAGTTTGCAGCCCACAATACACTTTCGGATTTAATTGTTACCACAGACAACCAGAGGTCCGTGATTGGACAGTTCTTTACTCACAAAATCATAGGATTGTCAAAATTGCAAAACATAACCTCAAAATTTCGCGTAACTTCCAGCAAATCTTTGAGAAATTTCTAGAAAATGAACTCAAAACTGACTCTGCTACGTCAAATAATCTCGGAACTTCGACTGGCTCTGCCAAATCGCAAGCTAAAAGACGATCTAAGCTACCAACACATAATGGGCCAGTTCAGGAAATACCAAACGACCGACCGGGAACTTTGCAAGGCCCGCGATGAAATGGAGGCGGTTGCCAGAACTTACCTGTGCTACTTAAGAAGCTCCCGAATAACCCAGCAGCTGAAAAGCGAGTTTCACGGCAAAGGAGAAAGATCAATCAATGAAACTGCGAGAATGGTGGGATTCAAGCTTCCCCATGATCCAAAGTAGGTGCTTGTAGTACTATTTTAGCGATAATGTACATATTAAGAGCAAATAAATGGGTATTAGTCGTCTTTAATGAGAACCCATGCTGCAAAATTTACAATAGAGCTGATTTTAGTAGTCATCTTTATTTTTCAAAATTATGGGTATGGCCAGTCAAAGTATCGATTTATCCTTAATAATACTTAAAAATATATAAACTCTCCAATATCGTAATTTATTTAAAAGAGACCTCCCCCCACTAGGCCTGGTATTCCTTTTCCAAATATTTCGCAATCGTGTTGAGCTGCATATTGGAAGTGCCCTCATAGATGCTGCCGATTTTGCAGTCCCTGTAGAATTTCTCCTGTATAAAATCTTTGGTAAAACCCACTCCGCCCATCCAGTCGATGCATTTTATGGTCGTTAACTGAGCGACTTCGCTCGCAAAGTACTTGGCCATGGCTGCCTGTTTCACGAAAGGAACGTCCGCTTCTACTAACCGAGCAGCGTTGTAGGTTAGGAGACGGGCGGCTTCTATTTGCGTCGCTACTTGGGCTATTTGGTGTTGCATTCCCTGTCAAAGAAAAACATTGAAACAATCTTTGTCTTTTAGATCTCACCTTGTATATATATGGTTTTCAAAACGGCCGCATCAAATTATTCATGATTTTCGAAAAAAAAAAAGGTTTGATAAAGATAAGGAGTAATTTGGGTATATTGAATTTGACAATTTTTTTTAAAGGAAATAAGTGCATTTATATTTTTTTATATGAAAAAATATTATTTAAGACGAAATTCTAAACTAAACTGCGGAAAAAGTTAGGGGTTCTGAGGTATCAATCTTATTATGTTCCATAATTTTTTAACCAGTAAGTAAAACGCGTAAGTTTGGTTATCGCATAGGAAAAAATACATTCGGTGGATTTAAATGTATATGACATAATACCGCTGTGACTTTGTGATGTGACATTAATCACAAATACCAGCGATAAACGATTTCTGCTTGTCAGCCAGGCAGGGGCGTACTCAGAACATTGTTGTTGATTTTGGTTCGATATGGCAAACAAGTTTTGTAAATGTATCGCGAGAATATATCGGTAGCCCGTTGACAATGGTTCACTCAAGGTCGGACTATTTCATTTGGTTTTCGGAACTGCACTTTATCGATTATTCATGTGGCGCAACATTGAACATTGCAAATTAATTGTGATTGTTTTCCGCAAATGCACTTCGACCGGGTCGCTTGGATTTTTTTGCCCGACCCGCTCACCTGAAAACTGTAAATCGGTTTCCCAAACTGCTTTCTCTCGAGTGTGTAGGGAATCGTGGCGTCGAAACAGCCCTGGGCGAGGCCGATCATCTGCGCTGCTATTCCCACGCGACCCTCGTTCAAAAATCCCGCAGCAATTTTGTACCCTTCGCCGTATTTGCCCAGAATCGAACTTTCCGGCACGCGGACGTCCTCGAAGGTGATCATACACGTACCAGAGGCAACTATACCCAACTTGTCTTCCGGTTTGTTCACGGTCAGGCCGGGCGTATTTCTGTCCACAATGAAACACGTTATGCCCTTGTAGCCCTGGAAACAACATCATAGCAGAAATCAAATCGCCACGACGGCAAAGACAACAAAAAAATTGACGTTCTGCGACGTTGCCGGAACGTCTCGAATATCGGAAAATTTGACGAAATAAGACGCGTTGTTACTTTAGAAGTGTCCGCATTCGCCATGACCAAAAAAACACCGGCCAGGTCCGAATTGGAGATCCACATTTTGGATCCGTTGATAATAAAGTCTGATCCGTCTTTTTTAGCGGTAGTTTTCAGGCCAAACGCGTCGGATCCCGCCGAAGGCTCGGTTAGACAAAAACTCGCCACCTACAATCAACCTGTTAGGGTTTAAATAGTGCGACGACGTCGGGCCGTACCATGTCGGTGGCAAGTCTCGGCAAGTATTTTTCCTTTTGTTCTTTGGTGCCCAGTTTGATCATCACAGAGTTGACTAGAGTATTGTGGATATCGACCAAGGCGGCCACCGAGGGGTCCACTTTGGAGAGCTCTTCCACAGCGAGCATGAGAGTGGTGAAATTGCAACCCGCCCCGTTGTATTCGGTATCTATTTGGACGCCCATCAACTGAAATTATTAGAAAGCGCTTAGGACGTTACCAAGGGGGTTAAGCTAGATGTCGTGTACCCCGTTTTCAAAAAGCGACTTCAATACGGGCTCCGCAATTTTTTTTTCGTTCTCCATCTGTCGGACGAAAGGCGCTATTTGGTCTTTGGCCAGTTTCGCCACTGCAAGAGAAATAAAATCGGGAAAATATTAACGGTGCGCCTATGGAATTCCGCACATTTGTTTTGTGCCGTGGCGCGTACGTCTTATCAAATGTGACGAGTATTATTTCGACATCTATTTATTATTTTCCAAAACGTAGTCCAAAAAGTATGTTGTCGTGGTTAAAATAATTTTTTGCTTCACCATAAAAAAAAAATGAAAACTTGCCGCTATCTCTCATAGCCTCCTCGTCCTCGGCAAAAAAAGTTAGGGGCGGCCTGTTGAGTTCCGCTTCCTCGGAGTTTTTGGCCGTAACGAAAATGCCTCTCGCGCCCAATCGGTTGGCACATTTGAAAACCTAAAAGCAAAAGGTCATATGAAAAATGGAAAAATGGTACATTAAGATCCCAGCGGTTTTACCTGCTTTGCCAAAGAATTCATGTTTAAAACCCGGCCTTCACTTACCAAATGAGATTGTTTACGAGTTCGGGAACGATTGTTAAAGCAGATTTAATTTATCATTATCTTTATTGCATATTACGAAACGAGTGAAACCTGTTTTGTATTATTCATCTCTGTCCCTCCTTATCTCGGAGCGCGTTTCCGTAAACCAGACCGCTCCAAGATCTAATAACTGGCTTGCATTTTCTACTTAAATGGAGTTAAAAAGACAGCATTTTTCACAATAAAATTAATAAAACAAAGTTAGTGCCTTGTTTTGGCGTTTTTTATTCAAGTGTGTAGGCAACCACCAATGCGGACGAGCATTGCATGAGGGCAGACACGTCTCTCTCGTGGTCTGTGTCGTTTTCTTTTAGAAGTTTGTGTTGCTGTCAAAGGTTGGTGTTTGTAATGCTGTATTAAAAATCTTCGTTCATCGGACGTCTTTATAGCTGAAATGTTGTTTTTTAACAATCAGCGGCGAGGCTGCCTCGCGCTTTATTTACTTCCGTTAATATTTTTTCGAATTCCACAAGGAAATTTCGAAAAAAGGTAAACATAACCTGGTTGCAGGTCTAAGCAGCATCCAACATGAAGTTCAACAAATTGGTGACCGCATCGCGGAGCAAAAACCGAAAACGGCACTTTTCGGCACCGTCCCACGTAAAGAGGAAGCTCATGTCTGCTCCGTTGTCTAAAGAACTTAGGCAAAAGTACAATGTTAGATCCATGCCTATAAGGAAAGATGATGAAGTTCAGGTGCATATTTCCTTGTGTTTTTCGGTCTCGGCTTGATGTTAGCAAAGGAATTGGGTTTTTAGGTGGTTAGAGGTCACTACAAAGGCCAGCAAGTGGGCAAAGTAGTTCAAGTGTATAGAAAAAAGTTTGTAATCTATATTGAGAGAATACAACGTGAGAAGACTAACGGTGCTAGCGTGTATGTCGGCATTCACCCGTCCAAAGTGAGTAGACGAGAGTTTACGGACAATTTGTTTCCTGTTTTTATATTTTCTGTGATGACACAAACCATTCGTAGACCGCAGGACCTAGAACACTGGAACATCTAGGCCTTTAAGGTTTTCTTTTTGGTTTTATGACGTTTCTTTGTTCAATCCGCGTAGTGGTGAATTTATGGCTCTGACTGTACTTTATACTAGGAAAAGTTTGCATATTTATTGCTGTGGAGTTAATAAAAAATTGTTTTAGGTTGTCATTGTTAAACTGAAAATGGACAAGGACAGGAAGAAGATTATAGATAGAAGGGCCAAGGGTCGCTTGGCTGCTTTGGGCAAAGATAAAGGCAAGTACACAGAAGAGTCTGCCTCGGCCACTGCTGTAGAGACCTCCTAATACTGAAATTGTTTTGTATTTAATAAATAGGTTTACCAAGGCTGTTTGCTTTTCTTTCGGGATATAATAAAAAGGCCATTTTTGTTGTGTAAAAAAAAAGTTTAAATTTAAGTTAACCTTAATATAGCAAAATAAGTGGCACAATAAAAAAAATAATGAAAGTGTCCTCGGTTTTCCAAGCGGTTTCATATATTTTCAGTCTTTGGTGAAATTTCCTCCTTGCTAAACTTTTTTCTTAGAAGGTCATTGATGCCTTCTCGATTCCTGGCGATTTCGATTGCATAAAATTGTATTCGAGTTACAAGCATAGAGTTTTCCTCTCCATAATTCTGAGTTGAGTCTGCTCTCAATAGTGTGCCGTAACTGTAATCTTCCACAACATTTTTGAATCGTTCACAAAATGGCCTCCACTTGGCCTTTTCCTTGGTGCTTTTCAGCTCGTTTTCAATAATTAGTTTCACGTCCAGCGTGGGGAATTCATCGCGAAAGATCTTATATATCAAATCATCTTCTGGGGTGAGCCTCAGATTTTTTGGGTCCACCGAGCATAAAATCTACAAAAATGAAGATTAGTGAGTGAACTCCAATCTTTGTTTATTTTTGTTACGTTGAAGTACACTTCCGCGTGTTCGTAGGCCTTCATTGCCCACATAGCTTCCACGCTGGTGTCATTTTCGAATTCTTCTGCTGGACGGGACAACACATCCTAAAAATGAAAGATTTTTAATGGACTTACGTCTGAACCATCACGGGATATATTTACCATTGCAGGTGAAATATTTTCTTAGTCACCTTAAATTTTTTATTAAATTAAAAGTAAATTATTTCTGCCCTTTACTTCGATTAATTTTTGTCTATATAACCTAAAATCTTCTACGCTTGTGCTTTGATGTGCGTTCCCTGATAGCAGGCAACCAAATAAACGTGTAAAAAAAAAGTCTTAAAATATTTAATTATTTTTAACGGAGAATAAACTGGTATCCACGTTAAATATATGTGGAATATTTGCCTATAACTGTTATAAAATTTTTATAAATACCACTGGAACCTAAAAAATTTCACATCCAGGGAAATTTCTTAGCCGATCTAAATAATAGACAGTGGTTGGCAGTCATCTGACTTCCATCAGGTGATTAGTTTTTGTTGAAAAATTTTGAAGAAAAGTAATTTCTTTAATCGTCATGGCACTACATTCGGCACAAAAGGGAAAGCTCATTTCTGTCATTGGAGACGAAGTGAGCCTTTTGTGATTCATAAAAATGGGATAACAAACTTTGGATATTTTTTAGGATACCTGTGTTGGGTTTCTCTTGGGTGGAGTTGGAGAAATCAACAAAAATAGACATTCAAATTTCATGGTAGTCGATAAAAGTAAGTTCAACTTTTAAAGATCCTGATGATACATTTACATAATTTATATTTAATATAATATTATTTCTAGACACAGCAGTCAGTGAAATTGAGGATTGTTTCAAGCGATTTATCAAGCGGGACGACATTGATATCATCTTAATCAACCAGAACATCGCTGAAATTATAAGGCATGTGGTGGATAATCACAATAGCCCCATACCTGCAGTATTGGAAATTCCATCTAAGGACCATCCCTATGATTCTTCAAAAGATTCTATTCTGAGACGTGCAAAGGTATTCTGGCAATTTGGTATCATTTTAACTTAATAGGGTTTGATCTTTTTAGGGAATGTTTAACCCCGACGATCTGCACTAAGATTGAAATAATAAACATTGCTGTAAAATTAACCATTCCTCTGTTGTATAGCAAATTGCGGTATTTTAGATGTAACAAATACTAAGAATTACAAAATATATAAATCATTAATAAAACTCTTATTATTTATTTCATTCTTACCAAAATTTCATATATGTAAGTAAAATTTCGAAATGTTTGTGGTCTGTGTTGTTAAACTTTCATAACCCCACTTTTTGTATTTGAAAATTTGTCAGTTGGAGTTAGTTTTCTCCATAATGAGTTCTGTAAGGCGGCGATCATTATTCGACGAATCGGTCGAAAAGAAAAGTCAAAAGTTGGAAAAAGAATGGGAAGAGAGATTCGGAAAATGCGATGTCAATGTTTCCGGAGTTACTTATCCTGATGAATACATCGAAAGAAAGAGCTGTGAGAAAAAGTACTTGGAAATCATGCTTTCCGAGTTAACCGAGGAATGTAAACAGTGGGTACCGCCAAGTATGTAAGTACTGAGTAAATCTGTGGCCGATTTTTGCATTTTTGCAGAATGAATGAAGAGCGTTCATTGCGTGTAACAGAGGATGTGCTGTTACCAGACCAAAAACAGGTTCTTGAAGGTATATCGAGCTATATTGAAGATTACGCTAAAAGGGCTCAGGAGATTTATAAAAAAGTCCAATTGCGTATTGAAGAAACCAGAGAACTAAAGGAATCCTTGGATGCTAAGATAGAAAGGACTGAATCTATTGCAAAGAATTTGTATTTTATCGAATCTTAGTATTATTCCTTATTATCTTTTCTTTTCTTATTTTATAGAAATTAAATAAAATGTACTGGGAGTAATGGATGTTTATTTCTGGCAAGTAGTTTATAGTATAGTAATATACCTTTCATCTGCGCGGAGGTACATGCCTGGTAGTCTACAAAACCACGTGTATATCGTGTTGCTTAAATCAAACGTTGACTCTTTACATAACCTTACAATTCCACATGTCTTGGATTCGAAGTTAGGCAAAGTACTTATTTTAAATTTGCGTTTCGGCATTGAAGAATGGCACGTGTGTAATTTTTGGTGAAATTGTTGTGCGAACTTGTACCACTAATTTCGGTCGATCGATAGACGGCTGATGCAACTTTTTAAAATATTAGTTATTTTCAAGTAGTGAAAAATTTTGACTGAAAAATGCCGTTGCACAGCAAGGAGCCGCAGTCTCCTGCTGAGAACAACCTTATCACTCCTTCTGAGGGGCACACGATGGGTATCATCGACGAGAAAATCAAAATGAAAAGACATATGGGATTGCTTGGAGGGGTTGCGGTTATTTTGGGGATTATTTGCGGTTCTGGTAAGCGCTTGACGGCTTTTACGTACTGTTTTTTTTATAATTCCGCCGTATAAATCGATAAGGTATATTCATAACGCCGCGTGGTGTAATCCAAGAAGTAGACTCTGTTGGCTTTTCTTTGGTTATGTGGGTCCTTTGCGGGCTATTGTCTATGATCGGGGCGCTTTGTTACGCCGAATTGGGCACGAGTATACCAAAATCTGGGGGAGATTACGCCTATATATATGAAGCCTTTGGACCTCTGCCTTCCTTTTTGTATTTGTGGGCTGCCAATGTAATTTTTGTGTAAGCCGATTGTTCTAGATGCCATGTCGCGCGTTTATCGATTTTTTATCTTGCAGTCCGACCACTAACGCGATAATGGGGCTCACGTTTGCGAAGTACGTGATCCAACCACTTTTTCCGGCGTGCGATATGCCCGATTTTGGGGTACGGCTCGTAGCCGCTGCAGTCATTTGTATGTTGCAATTAGCAGCCTATAACAAAACTTAATTGATGGGCTTTGTTTTAGGCTTTTTGTCGTTTTTAAACGGTTACAGCGTGAAGACGACCCTGAATCTGCAGAATGTATTCATGTTTTGCAAAATCGGCGCCCTCGTCCTCGTGATACTTATAGGAGTCACATGGATGAGTCTCGGCCACCTCGAAAATTTCAGCAACGCTTTTCAGCACACCACCACCAACCCCGGCAAAATCGCTAATGGGTTCTACTCAGGAATATTTTCGTATTCAGGATGGTTAGTTTTGTTCGTTGTAGAATTTTAATTTTTTTTTAATTGGCGTTTTATAGGAGTTACCTTAACTTTATGATTGAAGAGTTGCAAAATCCATTCGTGTGAGTTTTATATTATCCAATGAAATTGAACGCGTTGGACGAATTTGTTTGTGTTGTAGCAATCTGCCTCGGGCTATATACATTTCGCTGCCTCTGGTCACCGTCATCTACGTTCTCGCCAATATGGCGTACCTATCGGTTTTGACGCCGCAGGAAGTCGCGGCTACTGATGCAGTCGCCGTGGTAAATGCTAAGATTCCTTGTAAATTTCATGAAATGATTGTGTTTTCGGGTTTATGTGCTACTTGCAGTTAAAAAGAATTCATTACATTAAATACATTAAAATGTGGCGACCAAGAAAAAAAAACGGAAAGAATGATTTAGATGCTGACATGCCTCTTAAGGACGCGCCTGGAAATCGGATCTTTCTTGATTTTAATTTTTGAAATGCTTCATTTAATGAAATTTCCCTTCTTCTTTGTCAAACTTCACATTTTCAATATTTCAAAGTAAATTTAAAAATGCAAACAAAAAATAAACTCAATTTAAAAAAAAAGCCATTGGCCTATGGATATATTTTTCAACTTTGTTTTTGAATAAATCGCCTAAAGCTTTCACATTTTCCTTAGTTTGTCTAAAAGGTAATAATAATGCCCTACTTTTTCGGTTTTTTTTTTTCATTTTTTTCTCAAAGTGATGTTAGTTTACTTTTAAAAGAATTTTGAGCTGATTAATTTCAATTTAACATTACTAAATTTATCCTTATTTTTTCTATTTCTAGTTAAAGCAAAAAAAGGAGTGCATAATCGTTTTTTTTAGAACACTATATGTTGTTAAATTTTTCTTGGTTAGTCCCAATAGTATATATAAGTATTTAACATATTAATTTATTGATAAGCATTTAAATATTTAGTTTGTTTTTGGTTTTACTACTTCTAAAATAGACAACAATATTACCACACATTCTGTGCTTTAAAATAGCCATCTGCTTTCTTTTTAACTATCCGTGAGCTATTTAACAACTTACACCACTCGTTTCGCTCTTCTTTATAGTTTCTCCGAATTGCAGTTCATTAGGTGCTCGATAAATGCATTTTCCCTCAACAAAATTATTAACAAAAGTTGGCAATAAAATGACATAAAAACAATAAATAAACGAAGATGACTTTTGAGGGAAGAAAAGAATAGTGTAAAATATTTTAGACGTTTAGCAACACCGCGTTAGGGCCGCAGTACACATGGATACTGTCTCTCTTGGTGGCTATTTCCGCGTTCGGGGGATTAAGCGTGCATATCATGACGTCGTCGCGGATGTTATACGTAGGAGCGCGGAACGGCCATTTTCCCGCCATGTTGTCGCACTTGAATGTGTGGACGCTGACTCCCGTGCCGAGCCTCGCGTTTCTGGTATGCACCAGTACTGGTGGTGCATGATATTTAAACTTTTTCTTTGTAGAACATAATCTCGATAGCGATGCTGTGCACAAGCAACATCCAATTGCTTATCAAATACTGTACGATCGTCGAATCGTTCTTCGTGACCGTATCGGTCAGCGGTCTTCTGTTTTTGCGGTGGAAAAAACCCGATATGGACCGACCGATCAAATTGAATCTCGCCATTCCTATAGCCTTCGTGATTATCTGCATTTTCCTCTTGGGTATGACGCTTCCATATCGCTTTCGTTTAAAAGAAGAAGAATTTCGGTTTCGTTTCAGTGTTGCCGATCATCGAATCTCCGCTCGTGCTGCTGTGGGGCGCGGTGATTACGTTGTCCGGCGTGCCCGTTTACTTTTTCGGCATTAAAAAGGCGGGCCAGCCGAAATCTTTCGGAAATTTTATGAGTAAGGCATGGCCGTAATCGCGCGTGGTCCGTAATTAGTTTTGTTTCTTTTCCGTCTAGATAAAGCGACGGTGGTGTGCCAGAAGTTGTTCGCGGCTGCCCACGAAGACGTTGACGAAGAGTTTTGAGTTGTCTATGGGAACGCATCTCGAATATTTCGATTATTTATTTATTTCGGTTTCGAAAAATGAGTATTGTTATGTTAACTTTTTGATTTCTGATTAGCCAGTATTTTTTCGTTTTTAGTTATTTATTTGCTTTCTGCTTTATTTTTTCGCAGTGGTTACTGTGATGTTTGCGAATCTTTTTTGTATTGTGTTCGTTTGAAATAAATAAAACGTTTGAATTTTTTTTATTTGTCGCGGTTGGCAATATGTTTTACAGAAAGTCCCGATAAAAAAAGGAAGAAGAATTTCCGAGTTTTGCGAAAAGTGCGGTGCTTTTTTTTTTTCGTACGCAAATATGGTTTTTTAAGGTGTTGCAAGTCAAGAGCAAACGTGCTGTAGATTCAAAGTTTGTAGCGGGAACAACGGCTAATTTTAACGGTAAGTCGCAAATCTGTTATTAGTTTCTTTGTAGCGCCATTTTGCGAACGCTTTATTTTTCATTGAAAGGGGCCCTTTTGTCCGAGAAATAAGTCGATCGAGTCACTGAAATGCGGACGTTGTTGTTTCGTAACTGGTTGTGAGTTTTTTTAAACTTGCAAGTATTAAACAATCGGAAAGTTTTATTCTACATTGCCCCATAGATGGCGCTTGCAAGTCAATATTAATAAATAAGTGCCCTCGTTTGAATTAGAACTGACTCACTAGTTATTGTAATACAACATAGAAATTATGAGTATTTCTTGCAAAACATTATTATTCTTCGCACCAAAAAATTTGCAAGTTCTCTATCTGTTAGTTGGTTTTTAGGAAAAAATCAAATGTTGATTAGGACTTACGTTTAGGAATAGGTTTGTTGTTACTGTTATTTACATGATTACTGTGCCCTACGCGTGGACTAACAACAATATTTATCATAAAACGCGTTTATTTTATTATAAAAAACGTATTACACTAAAACTAAAGCCGCTAATCGACTGCGGAATTTTTCAATAAGAACGCCATCCCGTGTACCCTGAAGTGCTTGTCGTGCTCGTCCTTGGTCCGGAACTGATCCCTGCACACCCTGCACTGATTCTCGTTGACCTCGCCCTTCATATAATGGGGCATTTTTACATTTTTCGCCAACTCGTTAACCGCGCTTTTGTCGAAACAATCGTTCTCGTCGAAATACTGCTCGTACTCGGATATATTATGATAGTGCAGCAGGTGTATAATCAGCGAAGGTCTAACGACGAAACACTCCCCGCACTCCATGCACTGATAGGCGGTCGATTCTTGCCGGTGGCCCTTGACGTGGGCGTGGAACCTCTCCCTGTCCTTGTCTTTCACGTAACATAATCTGCACTGATAGATGCCGTTAAACTCTATGGGTTTCTCCGCCGTCAAATCGCAAACCACTTCAGGTTTTTTCGGTTTGCTGATTTTGCGACGTTTCGTCTTGGTCGGCGACGACGTCGTCGTCGCCGTATCCGGGGTCGCCGTCGTCGTCGTCGTCGTCGTCGCGGAGTCGTCGCTGTCGAGATTGGAAAAATCCAATCTCTCTACCAATACCTCGGGACGTCCGTATTTGCACACCTTCTGATGGGATTTCCTATCGGCTATTGGCATATGCATCTTGCACAGGATGCATATACACTTTTCCACCACCTTCTGCTCCTCGTTGCCTTTCCTCAACAATGCGAGGCACCTCCCGCAGTACCTCGTCGGCGCGTTTGCCGCGTAGATGATCCGCTTCTGGCACCTCTTGCATTCGCCCGATAAATACTTGGAGTACATGAAACTGTGACCCATGCGGGTCTTTTTGGGCACGCCCTTGTGCTCGATCGCACATTGGATGAGGTGGGTGCCGTAGGTCTGCGTCGATCGGAAGTACTTCTTGCAGTACTTGCAGAGGTAGATGTACATCACTTTGGAGAGGTCGTTCATGTGCCACTCGATGTGTTTCCGACAACCGGCACGGTTTAGGTGGGAACCGAGGTCGCAGATCGAGCAGTCGTAGCACGGTAACACCTCGTAGGCTTCCGAGTGGGTTCTTCCGTGTTCTTGCGCTTCGGCCGCGCTAGTCGATAGGGCGTGGCAACCGCCGCACTGGAACAGGTTCTTCATGTGCGTGTTGAAGTGTTGGGAGTACGTTTGCATCGTAGCGAACAGCTTGCCGCATTTTCTACCCGGGCAGCGGTACCTAGGGGGAGGAGAAAAGACGGCATGATAGTTTTTAGATCAACTATTGAACTGAAGTGGCTTTTACTTGACGAAAATCCATTTAACAAAATAAATAAGAACTAAAAGTTCAGATTTTCACGAAATTATATATTTTTACATGACAATTGTTTGGACAACACCGTGTCTGTCTCTATTAAATATGAAGCCAGAAAAAAAAAAGCAACTGAAAGACTGGTTTAAAAATTAAACAGCGTTGGTGCTGGAATTGGGAGGTTGAAAAATAGACTCATTAAACTAATGCAATTGTGGAGCGATCAATTAGTTTTGCGATACTTCTCATTGCCTGTGACATTCTCGGCTTTTTTACTATCATGGCCCTCCTGACTTTTTATTCGTTGTCAAGCATAGCAAACCTTGTCAATCTTTCGAAAACTAAACATTTTCAGCATAGACGACCTTGTACAAATTTACCTTTATTTTTAATGGTAATAAAGATAAAATGAATTTAGTATTTAATCTTACCTTTTGAACACCCTGTATTATTAGTTATCAAAATATTATAGAAATTCTACTAAAGTAGGTTCTTGTCGACAAGGTATTAAACCCAAATGAAAAAATTAAGATTTCCTTTTAGGAAAAATTGGTATTTCTCTTAGGGCCTGCAAATGACGTATTTCAGATAAAAACTTAAATATGTCAAAAGGCATGAGGTTGAAATTGTCCTGACAAAAAATATGTAATATTAAATGGTTGCTTCCCATGGGCTGTGCTGCATTTTTTGTTGAGTGCGAGTCAAATGCGGTTTACCGCACTTGTTGCATAATATACTTATTTTCAACTCCCGTCTGTAAAATAGCTAATTACACACCGATCTAGCGTGCGGGAAGCGTCACTTTAAGACGTCAGTTTCGTTTTCCATCGAATCCCAGCCACTTCGGACATTTCCGGGATTTTACCGCACGAGTTGGGGAGCAATCGGATGTTTCCGGAGATATTCCCACGCTTTGAATTTTGACGTTTGTCAATTCTGACGGTCATGTCAGTGAATGTATTCGTGTTGTTCTGCGCTAATGTAGTCAAAAACTAACGGTCGTATAAAAAGTATAGTATGCAACACGTTCGGTAAACTTTTTAAGTCACTCGTTTATTAAACACTCGCTCCGCTCGTGTCAAATAAACTCGTGAGTCAAATGCCGTTTACCGCACTTGTTGCATAATATATTATTTTGTAGTCACAAGTTGGAATAATAAAAAAAAACTTTATATGAAATGTCAACACATTATGGGCGCAAATAAATTAAAATAGTACATAGGTTCACACTGTGTTATCGATAGTCTGTTATTTTGTGTTTTCCGCAGGTACTTAGACGTACTGTTACTTGAACGTGTAATTAGATGAAGCGTTTTGAAAATATCTTTTTTTTTGTAATTATTTTCAAATTTTGTTTAAAAATTGTTCTTATTCATGCCCCCAAATAGATTTTTTGTCAATTATTCATTACTTTGTACTTTGTAAGCATCGATTATTTTATTTTATGAAATATGACTTCAAGAATACTTTGGTGGTAACCTACCTGAGGCTCTTGGACAGATGAAAACAGGTGTCGTCCATGTGGTCATGCAGCGTATTAAATTCCGGGAACTCTTGGCCGCAGTCGGGGCACACATAGGGTGGGATCTGATCGTGGATCCTCAAATGGGCCGAATAAGAGCACGGCGAGGTGCAAATCAGCCGACACACCTCGCACTTTAATTTCTCGTCCATCGGTCGATTTTCTCCGAGAAAATGGTCGAGAAGCGGCTCGTTCTGCTCTCGAAAACACTCGGGGCATTTGTACAGGGCTGTTTCCGGCGAATCGGACGCCGATTCTTCCACGGTCTCAATTTTCGTGATCACGGGCAGAATCATATTTGAATTGAACTCGTGTTCCAGTTCCTCGTCTTCCGTTTTCACCTCGACCTCCTCGTCGGACACGACCACATGCCTCCTTAACCTGTTCAGGTGGTCGACGGTGACGAATTCGCATTTGGGGATGTTTCTCGCCACTTGCAACAAAGACAAAGCTTGAACCTCGCCGTCGGGGCCCGTCTTGTTGATTACCAGATTGGTGGGCGTCAGCCCGACGACGCTTTTGCCGCGGTCACCGTCCGCGGGGGCGTAAAACAACGAATTCAAGAACTGTCCATTAGTTATATATTCTTCATCCACGTCAAACAGATAGGGGATGTCGGAGCACTTCGTAAACCCGGCCAGACCTAAAGGCAACATCTCCACCTCTAAATTGTTCAAATCTAGCGAGCCCTCGTGCAAGTTGTAATGTTTCCTCGTGTGCACGAGCAGGGCGCATCGATTGTAGAAGGTTAGGTCTTGACCCGAGCAGCCGGGACATTTGTAACGGAGGACGACGGCCCGCCGATTCATATGATACTGAAACGACTTCTTCGAGTGGAACATGTGACGGCAAGAGTAACAGGGGTACACTTGAAGACCCAACGCCGGCTTGAACGCCATCCATTCTTTGGGGTTTTTCTCAAACAGCATGTCCCATTTCGACGTCAGACCGTTCCTTGGCTGCTACGTATGATAAACGAACAATTAGCCCATGTTCCGATAAGAAAGCAGTTTATCGCTTACCGATAAAATATCCGCAGGTGTATCGGCAGACATTTTCGATGGTTAGAGTCGGACGTCAAAACGCATCGGCCAATAACCGTCAGCGAAACAGGCCAGACCCTAGTTACATCTAGGGAAAAATTTGGTGATATTGTACGCGCGGGCGAAAGTCACTAAAATCCAGACACGTACTTCCGGGGAATCGAAACCGATACGCAGTAACGACATGGGTGTACGATTGACCCACAAGCGACAACCAGTAATTGATGCTCTGCTCAAAGGTTGCCAAAAAAGTGAGGTTACGTCTCGAATTCCAAAGGAATAGCAATGAAAGAAACACGTAAAAAAATATGTTTATTTTGCGTCATATTTACATACACGATGAAATAAGGCACTGCATAAGTCACGATTTAGGATAATTTCTCTTTGACGACGTTGACGAGTTTGACAACGGGCCCGTACAAGGCCCACAGCAAAGAATAACTAGCTGCGATTAGGGCTAAGTAAAACAGGAAATCGCTGCCCTCGGATTTTTTGCCGAACCATTTGGTGTACGGACTAAGCAGCAAGGTTATACTTCCAAAAAGGAACGACAAGCAACCCGACGACACATGTATGAACTTCACCAGCTTCGCATTCTTGATGATGTCTTTGAGCTCCTTTTTATATAGCAAAACGATGCCGTTTATAATCGGTGGCAACGTGCTCGCCAACGCTATGACGCCGCAGAGCCCGTGCCAGCTCACGAAGTGAGATTTGTTTAGGTTATTTTTGTTGACATACACCACAAGGAACGCGACCAAGGAAAGGGTGTAACCCGCGCCAATAGCTATGAAGTGCACCCGCACTCGCGTGGTACCCGTCGTTTTGAACCGCCAATAAGTGTTGTTTTTGTTGATCGCGAAGAACCCTGCGGTCATGAGAAGCATGTACTGGAACATAATATACAAAAAATACATAAAAACTTCATGAAAACCTGTTGTCGCAGTCTTAAATTTCGCCGCAGAATAAACACCAAGTAGAAAGGGTACCGAGGGAAAGTTTAAGAGCCTCAATTTTTGTTCTACATGGAATTTACGAATCAGTTACAACAACAAATTTGCCTCCGATGGGATTTAAAAGTAATGGGTTTGACACCTATCCCCCCCCATAAATTGCTTTTTTGATTTTGTCGCGCCTGTTTCATGTTTATTCGGCGATTTGGATTAATGCGTTAACCTTGAGCAAATATATTTATTTTGCTATTCAAATAAATGTTACTGAATATGTCATTCTTTGAGAGTCATTGAAGTTATCTTTTTTGTTGGCGCCCGTGATAAAGCGTATAGTGCTTTCACAAATAACTGGTTTCGACCTAACGACTACAATAATGCTCCCTACAGGAGTAAATTTACCTTAATAATGGTTTAGGCCAGACTATAAATATTAAAGAGAAGTTGGCTTTTAGAAATTTTGCAGGGGAAACGGAACATACGGTTCCCATCTTCGTGTCTTCAATTCTATAGAACACATGTTGCATCAACTAAAATTAAGCATTTGATTATGTTATTGTAGAAAAATCCTACAATACTTAAAGTTTACATAACATTTCATATTATAATTCGACCAAAAATATAGTGCATTTATTGCATTGACGTTTTAAGTACCTTCCAGTACATTAACCGCAGACCTTCGCAGGAGGACACAGAACTACCATATAGAGTAATATAAATCGGTATATTACAATTTGTTAGTGTAGATAGATCAAGTAGGCATGAGTAGTATTTTATATTGCTCAATTACAGCATATTTATTGTCCCCAAAACGATTTATTCGCGAAAGCACTATACTATTATGTGGATGACGTTACATATATAAAATCGTCAAATCAGTTTTTCAGAATGACCTCGCAGCATTTTTTCAATTTATCTAGAAACACAGAAAAAAAAGTTGCATAAAAATTACAGTGGGATTTTCCCATAAGCGTCACGATCGGATGGGTTTTTCAGCTCTTTAAAATGCAACGCGATTATTAAATTTCACAGAATGCAATTTTTTTCCGTCCTCCAATTATAGAAAGTGTAACGGTGCGATTTAATTCTCGGTTTCAAACATAGAAATCTATTCCGATGGATACGCCCCACAGGTCGTTGATACCGGTCTCAATCACTCATTACTCGAATCAAATGCACCGGCAACAATGACGCGGCAACACCGCTACGCACATAACCTTGACAAACAAAACGAATCGCCTTCACTTCCGCGTCGCGTAAACACTCGGAACTCACCCCTATTGACATCAGCACGGGGTGCCACGTGAAAAACACGAAGTCTCCGCGGAAACTCAGCTTTAAGACGACGTAAACGAACGTCACGACGCAAGCGATAGCCAGAGTCGTTAAGTGCGTTTTGAACGTTACCACGTCTTTCGGTTTTTTGAATTCCTTCGATGCTCTTCTTTTCGGCACCCCGCCCACTGCGACGTCTTCATTTTTGGCGTTTTTATGTTCCTCGGGCATGTCGTCGACGTCTGCCACATCTATCGACGTCTCGTCGCGCTGCCGGACTGCGTCGGCGTTGCCGCCGCATTCACTTTTAACTACTACCTCCGTTTCGACGTAATCTGTCGATCGAGATAGTGACATTTTTTTTTCAATTGTCGAGGGTGTCTGATTTGCGCACAGAATGCAAAACGAAGGTCCCACTTTCGAAGAAAAAAACTGAACGTTTGTTCACGGCGTTATCGGGTTCGTTTATACGCTTTCGAAGCGCAAGCAGATAAGTCACGTTCGGGGTTAATAGGTCTTACGCGGGTTCAGTTTAAATCGCGTATATCTGGTTGCATAAGTTGCATTGTAGCCTCTCGTCGCGTTTTAAACGGGGAACTCGATAAAGAGTTTACTGTTATTGTTTTTTTTATTTGACAGAAAATCAAAATGTCTATTTTGGAAATAAGGAAGAAATGCAAAAAACTTTTAAAATACCGAAAGTTATTTCGTCTTAAAAATGACTGAAAGTGGTGGAAACAAATCATTATCTTTTCATCGGACGTTTTCCAAACATATGATTGGGTTTCGGTTTTAATAGCCGTTCCCATTTACAGGTGGACATCAGTGTGTTTGTTATGTAAATCTTCATTTTTATGTGTGATCAAGAGTATTTTAAATAGGTTTATGCATAGCATTGTTAATCATTTATGTTGTTGAAATACCTCTTTACAGGATTGTCTCCGATGGATTTTAAAAATCAAACTAGGCAGCCTTTTTTGCTATATGAACACCGTTTCATTTTGAAAATAATTATAATTTTCCCAGTTTACAATATTATATGAAACCGAAGAGTACGTTGACGCGTAATTGCAAACATGAAATTAACATTTTTATAGGTTATGTGGTAACTGTGATTTTGAAGTATTTGTATTAATTGATGACCAGGAACATTTAGAGAGAGAGAACCTCCTTTTTCTTTTTCTTTTGACATATCCCGTTGGGCTAGAGAGAACCTAGCTACAATATATCAGCTAAATGTCAGTTCATGTCCAAAATTTGTCGATATATTCTTAATAATATTTTTTGTTGCAATAAGTGATTTAAACTAATTATCTCATAAATTCTTATTTCTATGATCAAACTAAAAACCATTTTTGGTTAATGTTTTAACACTGAATACCAGTTGAATAATTTAAAAATTTAAGGGGCTTTTAAATTTGAATTTATATGACTCGAGCGCCATCTACCTTGAGATTTTTGAAACATTCATTTTCTCAGTACTGTTTACAAACATGGAGTTGATAAAATAGTGTAAAGAGTTTATATGATTTTAGAACTCAAATTTATTTTGTCAATCAATACCGTGGAGAGATGAGTCAAGCTGTTTCTTCCAGGAGTGTAACGCATTTAATTAGAATGTGTACGTCGGAAGAAAGAATACTAGAACACCGCGAGGTAGAATACAGAAAGTGGGACAAATGTTTCCAGAGATGGCTGTCGCAAAAATATCCAAAAGAGTGGTCTTAGTTTTTATAAGGAATGTTTGATAATTACTTTTTTGTTGTTTATTCGTGGACCCAACATCACACACATAATATGAAATAAAATGTTTAATTAAACCATAAAAATAATTTTGGTAAACTGGTATTTTATTCGTAAAGTAATGCTCGTTCTAACATAAGGTTGCTAGAGCTTGTATAACGTCAATAATTTCTTTGATCTCATTGCCTCCTAGCTGTCTCTCGGCTAAAGGCGTAGACGGTAATAAATTGACATTGACTTAAAAAAATAAATAAACAACAATTTTTGTCGTAAACATTTATTTAATGATTCCAGAGGTTTTAAAACTATATGTTGTTATTTTTTAATAAAATAAATACTACAAAAAATAAAAAATAACGCTTAAAGCCTAGAACTATGTACAATGTCGGCCGAAAACTGCCCAGTATAAATATCATAAATAATCGCGAACAAAACAAAAAGACAATGAGAGTTCGATATCAATCTATAGTAGGCGCCCACGGGTGGTCTATCTGGCCGTACTGGATGGCTGTGAGTTCGTCCAACACCCGCTTGTACAGGGGCTTACTGTGTTCTATCGTGGGAATTTCTAAAAGTCGGTCCATATATTCGATGGACGCGATGGGACTCACGATGCATGCTGTACCAGAACCGAACATCTCGAGCAACTGCAAGCAAAGAAACAGGGTTTTATGTCGGGGGCTTCTTGCGAGTTATTCAAAAAATGTGTGTTGGCTTTTTATATCCCAGGTCAATAACATCAGAGAGTGTTAGTAATCAAAGGTAATTTTTGTCAATAGTGTCATTTACTTAAGAATTGGAACACCAATTTGACGTGAATATTAGGAGAAATATTGTTAATAATCGAACAGTTCTTAGAAGACCTGCAACTCACTCGTGTTCTCTTTTAAGTCATAATTTAATTGTTAGTTCTAAATGGCCAGTTAGCAAATCTTATTGACACTGAATTACATCTCCTCTCTTGTTGATTGGTTCTTTTAGAAAAGAAAAGTGTAGATTAATAAGTCAATGGGAAATTCCGTCCAGTTCCGTTTAATTTCTGTGTCGTCTTTTATTCGTAAGTAAACTCTGTGTAATATTTCTTTGAGCCGTGTAAGCTTAACCGTAAAGCAGTACCGAAGAGAGCAGAGGAAAATCTTTTATGTTGACGAGACGTGGCTTACAATAATCATCATTTATCATGGATACAACTGAAAAGATATTGCGTTTTTTGTATTCTTTTTTCTTATTCCTCCGATGCCTATCCGTTATGGATGTTGGCGATTAGCATAGCTATTCCGACCTTATTTTAAGTTTTTCAGCCGCCATATTCTCCGTCTTCCTGGTTTTCTTCTTCCTTATAGCTGCCTCTGTAGCACAAAGTATCTTAGTAGTCTGATGTTTGTTTGCAGTGGAAAGTTAAGGGCTTTGAAGACGTTCATTTTAGTGCCTTTCTATTCTTACCTTGATTTCTTGCGAGTAATCCTATTGTTCGATTAAATTTGTACCCGGATGCTTGTAGCTCAGCTTTGGTATCTTCGAACATGATTTCAACTCCACTGTTACACTCAATGGTGTCTTTTCTGTTGTCTTCAAAACTCCGCTCTATGCTTCTATATCTGTTACTTATTAACAAGTATGTTGCCCTAATCGTCTATTATATCAGCTATTCTATTTCATTTCTTAATAGAATCATTCCGACTCTCGAAAAGTTCTCTTTAATTAGACTGGTCTTCAGTCTTTCGAATAGCTTTCCTTATTTCTCTATGCATTTGTATTCTATAATATCTTTTTGTCATCCAGTTTTTTTTATATAGTATTTAATGAAAATAAGGCCAGCTAAAACTGTATACCATATTTTTAATTTTTTAAAATAAAATCCTTTTATTTTTAAGGGTATCCTTTCGATTCGCCTTTGCCACACCATTTTTAATGTGGGTGATTGGACCAACAATAGGTAAAACTTATGAATTGATAAGAACTCGGGTGGTACTACGATAAAAAGACGGAATTTTGAAAAAAAAATCAACGCTAAACAATGCAACTCGCTGCAGTTTTGTCACTATTATACCTATTATACCTATTACTCTACACTTTTCTGAAATAGACTATAGTAAAACAAGGTAAAAAAAATCCATTAGCTTCACGTGTACGGGCAGCATCACCTACAGACTCAATTTCCAAACACCCTGTATAATAATAAATTTAAAACATTTGAAACGTTATAACCAGTATTTCACACACAAAATAAGCATAAAAAACTTTTCATTTTTTTTTTCTCATTTTAGGGACACAATTTAAATTGTCTTTTTTTTCTAAATTTGTTGTCGACAAAAAAAGGGAAACATGTTTTTTTTTGTCTATTCGGCTGTACCAACACCGGAGGCCTCTTTCTAGTAAAATTATACTAGAATAATTGAATATGGAATAAACAGTACAATACAAGTAGTTTTGTAGATAAAGACGTCACAAAATCCAAAATCATTCTATCGGTGACGTCGAAGGAGACTGAGTAAAATGAAATGGTTGTTTACGCAAAAATGACGTCCGCCATAGGCGCACGCAGATAAATAGGTTCGAGTGAAGTTACGCCTCCGAATTTGTTTTTATTCTTTTTTTTTTTTGTAATCCAGGCAAAATAAAACGTAGTTAGCCAATGGAATGCTGATGTCACGCTAAAATGAGACGAGCCTCTGCGCATCTATTAGATAAGCTATATGGTTATTAGTAGAGTTAAGATTTTATGTAAAAAACAACTTTTTTATTATTAGGAATATCAACTCAATGTTTTGCATATTCCCGTTTTAGTATGAAATAATTAAATTAACGATATAAAAAGATTTGGTACATATTTTTATTTATATATTACTCTTTTGTACATTAAGTGAATATTTTCTATTTTTCGAGCATAAGAGCGCATATTTTTGACCCAATCATTTGTTTGTTATTGGGATTTTTCAAACGGATAAGGTTAAAAATGAAATGTATCTGCAATATGGTGGACTTTCTATTTATAGCCTTCAAATCCCGTTACCTAAATATTAACCCTGGTCCCTTTTCTTGTTTGACGCTTTAATCTAATGTGAAACTCTGAAAATTATCACTGATGGTGCTTGTGATTGACTAAAATACATCCCACCCTCCTCATATGTACTTTTGAATTTTTCCGAGCATTTTAAACATTGTAATTGCTGTCCGAGCGTCCGAGAGTGAACCATCATTGAATTCAAAATGTACAATACTTAGTCAACGACGCAGCAGCATATATGACCAAAGCTGGGTTAAATTTATATTTTTTTGATAATAATAGAGTTGCAGTTTTCATTAGTTTATTGTTTAATTTTGAACGTAAAAAAATATTTGTTAAAACACCTCTTCGAGTTCAAGTTTACAGAGAAACATTGCCATGCCATGACGGGGAACGCGAATCGCTTCAATCAAATAAAAAACATTGTATTAGACTTTTCAGATTCAGCTGGTCCAATTAAAAAAAACGCAAAATTTATATGAAAAATGTGAACTTATAGATCAGTTGATATATATCAAAGCTAATTTTAGTTTTTTATTCGGCTTTATTAAAAAATTAGAGACCGACCAAATGTCTTTGTTAGAGTCGATTTCAATAGTGCGAACATTTGTTGAAAAAGGTTCCAAGCAGAACAGGGAAAAATATTCTTGATAAATTTAATGTAACAACAAAAAAAGAAGAGGGAAAGGAAAAGTTACCTAAAATTTCAAAAAATTTATCGCTAGATGCGACGGTTGATAATGATTATTTGGAAGCAGAACAGTATTAGGATATTAATTATTATTATTTTTATGTCTAAAAACTGTAAATTTTTTGGAAAAACCAGACATGTGCATATTTTAAGCATTTTCTGTGCATAAAAATCCAAACTCGAGTTCTTAGCTACTAGTATCGCCTGAAATGTAATAAAACCTCAACTACAAAGAGTTTTAAACTAACTATAAAATCATCCGAGTTGTTCTGACGTAAATGTATAGAAATTTCGCCAATTGAACATATTCACTTGAAATTATTGGGCAAAAAATAAGAGGGAACAACAATAAAATTTATCAGCGTGCGTGATCTACCGAAAGTCGAAATTCGATGTTTGTTTAATACAACACCTCCGTAAGTGGACGATAACGCGCAGATTTACCGAATTCGCAACAACAAAAACACGTGGTTTTGTTGAAAAACATGTTTTCAGCGAATTGCGAAACCTTTTATGTTCGTCGGTAATAAATTTCGCAAAATTACGGAATTTGTTGGCGAGGGACAGATATGAATTCGTAGTTTGATAATTTTTTTCATTAAATCCAACGAGTTTTGTTTAATATTTTCCTTAAAAAAATTAACATCAACATTCACCATATCACTAGAGACGTTATTTTTGTTGCAAAGTAAGGTAGATGTATTTTTTCTTGTATTTTTTCTTGTATTTAACCATGTAGGCAAATTAAAAACGTTTGTTGTAAAAATTACCAATAAACTGTTTAAAAAACTGTTTCAAACATTAAAAACCCCCATTACTCTCGTTTTTAGTGTCGCTTATTTTTGTTTATGCTTTTCCTTATATATCCAAAATTATTCTATGTGGTATAGTATATTATGCAACAAGTTCGGTAAACGGCGTGCCGCAGGGTTCTGCCCCCGGGCCCGATGTGACCGCTTGACGGACAATGGAAGGTTGATTTAATTGAAAAAAACATGCCTATCTGTTATGGTATATTATGCAACAAGTGCGGTAAACGGGATTTGACCCACGAGTTTAATTGACACGAGTGGAGCGAGTAACTTAAAAAGTTTACCAAATGTGTTGCGTAATATACTTTTTCTACTACCGTCACGAAAAAATCACAAATTTACAAATTAAAAATAATAACAGATTATTGGATTACTAAAATTTGAACCATTCAAAAAATATTTTTACCAGTTGCCATTAAACCTACTCGTTTATCGTCCCGATAGGTTCTGCTATTGTTATCTCTTTTTAAATCTGTACGTTAGATAGAGAGAGATGTATTATTGGATATGTCATATAAACAACGGAATAAACACAATTTTAAAACGTCATGTTTATTTAATTTTTTCAATTGGTCATTAAGTAGTTTGCCTAAAGAAAAAGACTGCAATTGGAAGAAAAATCATCCAAGGATAGAGCTTTTAAGAGTATTAAATTTTTAAGATCACATAAGCAAGAAAAAGCAGGTCCTAACCTTCAATTTTGTTTGTACTTGTACTGATGAGACATGAATATTTGAAAATGGTTCAATTGGTCTTGCCAAGATATTAATATAAAAACTGTGTTTTTGGCTACATTTATGCAAAACAACCCCGTCAGAATCGACAAACGTCAAAATTCAAACCGTGCGGTAAAATCTCCGAAAACATCCGATTGCTGCTAAACTCATGCTTTAAAATCCCGGAAATGTCCGAAGTGACTCGGATCAATGGGAAACGAAACTGACGTGGTAAAGTGACGTTTCCCGCACGCTAGATCGGTGTGTAATTAGGTATTTTACAGGTGGGAGTAAAAAAATACATTTTTTCATCCAGCATAAAAAAAATTAGCAGTTTTGGTTAGTTTGTCGGCATTTTTAACATCAATTTTTAGCTAATTAAAATATGTCCATGCGGAAATACATTTACAAAATTTTATCGTGTCTACCAGCTTAAGATACAGGACCAGTTAACAAAATTTTAGGATTCTGAACAGGAGCTTCGCCAGAAAGACACTTATTTTGTCAAAAAAGTTTTTTTTATGGGGTATTTTTGAATTTTTGGACAACACTGTGATTTTATAAACAATTTTTCTTAAACAGGTTGTTTAAAATAAAATTCTTCCCTGAATTAACTTTTAGAAAAGAGCGATTTCCTGGGGTCCCTTTTGAAACGCCCATTTTTTCCATATTCGGTGGAGGGGGGGGGGGGTAAATCACTCACCCTGCCTTTGTCGACTAAACTGACCACCTCAGCCATGGTGATAGTCCTCTGTTCGACCCTGAACTCGCGCCACTGCTCGCACATCTGTATAATGCTTTGCCGTATGACGCCCGGTAATATGAGCCCGTTCAGTGGCGGCGTGCACAGCACCTTCTCCCCCAATTCGTTCTCGTAAAATACGAAAATGTTCATGGTGCCCACCTCGGTGAGCTCGTGTTGGGGCCCGTACAACCACAACACCTGTTGTCTACCCCGCTGAGTGGCCTCGACCTGCACCCTTATGGTCGGGCCGTAATTGGAACCCATTTTCCTATCGCCGCAACCCCCGGGCCAGGCCCTCGTATACGCTGGGTCCGCGTAAAGGGAAACCGCCCCGGCGCCTTTATTCTTGGTGTCGAAATACGACCCGACGGGGCATACGATCACGTAGAGGAGGGCGGAGTCGCATTTTTGCACCCCCAAGGTGCCCTGGAAAAAACGCGCGGGCGTTTAGTCAAGCGGCACGCCACTGGAGTTCGAAAGAATTCGCTAAACTCTTTCGGTAATTGGAAAAATGTTTGGGAAAAATCAATAGGAGGTTTTTGAAATAATAATAATTCTTTCTACTCCCGTCTGTAAAATACCTAATTATACACCGATCTAGCGTGCGGGGAGCGTCACTTTACCACGTCAGTCTCGTTTCCCACGAATCATAGCCACTTCGGACATTTCCGGGATTTTACCGCATGGGTTTGGGAGCAATCGGATGTTTTCGGAGATATTTCCCACGCTTTGAATTTTAACGTTTGTCATTTGTGAAGGTCATGTCAGTGAATGTATTCGTGTTGTTTTGCAGAAATGTACCCATAAACTAAGGGTCGTAGAAAAAGTGTGGTATGCAACACGTTTGGCTATAGTATATTATGCAACACGTTTTACAGACCGTAGTAGAAAATAGTATAGTACGAAACAAGTGCGGTAAACCGCATTTGACTCACCAGCTTGTTTGACACGAATGGAGCGCAACGGAGCGAGTGTTTAATAAACGAGTGACTTAAAAAGTATGGTATTTTGGTATTAATTGGAATTTTCAAAATTATTGCTTAATTAAAAAAAAAATAAAAAAAGAAGCTCTTTCGAGGGTATAGGAAGGCCGCTGTAATTATTATTTTTATTGACATCACATTAAAACAGCTGCCTATTACCTCAAACAAAGTATTAGTAGTAAAGTATTTAATTACATTAATTTTTAAAAAATGACTACCGGCAAACGATTTTTCTTATAAATTAAATTATATACAATAAAAAATATGGATGTCACTGGAACTATTGTTTTCGTTTAAATTACTTCCAATCTTCGTCCCACATTTTTAGAGAAAAACGTATTATTCTTAACTAGAAATTTCGTTTTTGCAGAATTTCCATCCGAAATTTCGTGAAAATCTGAACTTTTAGTTCTTATTTATTTTGATCAATGGATTTTCATCAAGTAAAAGCCTCCTCAGTTCAACCTTTGAAACAACGTTGATTCTCGATAAATTGGCATATTTGGGGGCGATGGTGTAAAAACAGTGTGTGAATTTTTCTTTGTTCGAAATTTTTTGAATTGAAAATACATAGACATTGAAGCAGTAGGATAATTTGTAATAAAAAACTGTGGTTTTACTGTTAAAAACAATGCCGATTTTTAAGTCTTCATTAGAATTTTGCAATGAAGACATTAGAAACTTTTTTAATTATGTAGATATTGTATGATCAATTAGGCTTTAAAAATATTAAAACTCAAATATTGCCATTCATTAACGACCACAAAAATGTAAGAGCAAACCGACATACTGAAGTTCTGAAGAATTACGACACTGCTTGAAATTTGTTTAAAAACTTCTTTATTTAATCAGGCTAACGTTGTAAAGTATTTGGGTTTGTTCATAGACAGTAATTTGCCCTGGACACTTACGGTCATGTCAGTGAATGTTTTTGTGCTGTTTTGCGAAAATGTACCCAAAAACGAACGGTCGTAGAAAAATATAGTATGCAACACGTTCGGTAATTTTCGGCTGCGCTTCGCTGGCGTCGATTAAACTCGTGAGTCAAATGTCGTTTACCGCACTTGCTGCATAATATACTATTTTCTACGGCTATCACGAAAAAATCAAAATACAACGAATTAAAAATAGTAACAGATTATCGTACCATTCAAACAAAATATTTACGAGTTGCCATTAAACCTATTCGTTTATCGTTCCGATTAGTTCTTCTATGGTTGGCTCCTTTTAACTGTGTACGTTAGACAGAGAGAGATGTGTCATATAAACAATGGAATAAACACAATTTTAAAACGTTATGTTTTTTATTTATAATCGATCGTTGAGTAGTTTTTTTTACAGAAAAAGACTGTAATTGGAAGAAAAATCATCCAAGGATAGAGTTGTCAAATGCTACTTTTAAGAGGATTAAATTTTTAAGACCATATAAGCATGAAAAAGACTTGGATATTTGGAAATGCTGCAATTGGTATTGGACGTGGTAAAGTGACGCTTCCCGCACGCTAGATCGGTGTGTAGTTAGGTATTTTACAGACGGGAGTAGAAAAAAAGTACTACGGTAGCCTGTGGAAGTTTCTATGAAAAAAAAACTCAGTATTTAATATTCGATACAATACTCGAATCTGACTTCACCTATCGGTTAGCAAAAAATTCGCAAACACATCGGACGGTTCACAAAGAAGAGCATTAAGCTAGGAAACCGTCTCCGAGTGCGGTTGGAACGCACCTAATTACATTGCCTCATCTTGTATTCATTGTGTGTTTAAGAACTGGCTCCAACCGGACCGTAACCCCATGACCCGCCACGGAAGATAGGGTGAATAATATGCGTAAAGATTATCTCGAGCGGCCGGCTCCTAATTCGAACAATTTCTATTGTTTGCCGTGCAACAAAAACCCGATAACGGCCGCTAATTAAATTTAAAAGCGCCTATTTTCGTTGAGTATCGCTAACTTTTATGATCAATTAAAAATGAGCCGATAGTTATTTCTGCATTTGAAACCCGGTTCTGTCTCTCTCGAAACAGTTTTGAAGGACTTACGTCGATTCCTATCAGGGTAGGTCTGACGTAGAGGCTATTGCCGGTACCGTGAGGTACCCATTCCTGATCGACCTGGATCAGCCTGTTGATACACCTGGTGAGCTCCGAGCCGTCGAAGGTAGGCAACCCAGAACTCATCGCCGACCTGTTCATCCGCGCCATGTTCAAATCCGGCCGGAACAATCGTATTTTACCGTCTACACCCCTGTATGACTTCAACCCCTCGAACAATTCGGTCGCGTAGTGGAGTACCTTGGCGGCGGGGTGGAGGCTGATGTTCTCGAAGGGGATGATGACGGGTTTCTGCCAGCCGCCGAGCTTGTTGTGGTAGAAGATTTTGAGCATGTGGTCGCTGAAGATGTGTCCGAATTTCAGGTCCGAGACGTCGGGTTTCGCGCGCAACTGGTGCGGCTCCGCCAGTTTTGTCGTCAGGTCGGCGTACTGAGGGAAGAATTTACAGGGTCGCTTCGGTTCGCGCATATACGGGGTGTTTCATAATGTATCTTGATAACATTTTAATTGGCTGTAAACCTTTTTGTTTTTAGAGATATCAAGGTAAACAAAAAAAAAAACAAAACAAGTGACGCATAAAACAAAACACCGTCAATTATCTGACATATAAGCCCACATCATATTTTTTTAAAATGGAACACACTGTATATTATATATGTGTTTAATAGAATATCTTATTCCGATTTCAGTGACGTAACCTTTATATTTTAGTCCACTCGTTTTTGACAAATCGGCAAAACTAACCAAAACTATTGTATGTGACCACCATTTTCCTAAACACATTTCTGAAACACTCTAGTTGAATGATGTCTTGCATTTAGTAACGTTTCCGCATTGTCTATTAACTGATTGATTGCCTCTGGAATCCTTTGCCGAAGTTCCACGATATTATTACAAGGAGTTCTGTGCACGTGTTCCCTTTAAAAAAATCGGATGTAGGCTTATATGTCAGAAAATTGATAGTGTTTTGTTTTATACGTCACTTGGAAAAAAAACACTTGGCTGCTAACCCTACATTTTGTTTTTTTGTTTACCTTGATATCTCTAAAAACAAAAAAGTTATAGCCAATCAATTTTTTATCAAGATAAATTGAATTCACGTTACATAAAAAAGGGTGTTTTCAAAAGTTTGATTAAAAATTTTTTTGTGAAAGGGCGTGGAGAAAAATAGATTATCTGAGTTTTATCACTAATTCTTAATTGGACTTTTGCAAAAAAATGCTGATACAAAATGCAAATTCTTATATGAAACTTTCTATAAGTATTAATTGCACAAGTTTATGTGTAATTGCGTAATTGATGATAATGAGTAACACTGTGTTAACTATTATTTAAACTCAATAAAAACATATTGGATCTTTTGAATCAAATAAATACGCTAAGTCCGTATATCGTTGTTATATAGGGCGAATCAAAGATTGCGAGCGATACCCTTACAGTGTTTACAAAACATGTGGTTAATGCAAGATGGCGCTTCACCCCTTCCACTTCTTCAAGTCTTTAGTGTATGAAACACCTATAACAAATATAAATGATCTGCCACAAAAAATAATGAACGGTTAGGCGTATTTTTTAGTGTCCGACAGCATTTTTGTAATGTTTTTTTATTTTCGAAAATGTTTTTATGTTTTAACCGTTGCCAACCAACATGGCCGCTGACAGACCGTTAATAAGTTTGGATGCGACATTAATATGCCCAGATCTCGTTAATTGTTCTGGGAAAACGAGTTAAATCGCTGTTCAGAAAGAAAATGGCGGAAAATGCAGGTTAATAGCTGACATGTAGAGCCTGCGGCGCATTAATTTCTGCAGTAGTAGAGCCACTATATTATGTTCTCCGTGGTTGCTTGATTATTTGTACTTAACGCCTACTAGAGCCATAGCACTTTTATGTAGAATATTTATAATATTTCATTTGGGATTGTTGCCATGTTTTCACCAATTCGATCACAGTATGATGTATATTCACATATCTATAGTTGACACGAAACTTGAAGAAAACTTTTGATAAGTCGGTTATGAGGTAATAGCAAATTTCCGACAACACTAACGAAATATAACGAACGACTTACGGCTTACGATAAATATTATATTATTTTGGTGTGCCTGTGTATTGCGTCATATTTTTTCTGCCCGTTAGGTAGAGAGAGATCAGCATTTTATGATATGTAGGTCTTATATATTAATGATGGGCCTAAACCAAAACATTACATTCTTTGAAACGCTTTTGCGGAGTTTTGTTTTTTATTTCAATTTTGGATTTATCGCGACGACTCACCCTGAATGTGTATTCACTGTCGGACTCTTCGAACTGTTCGTCGGGTCTTTCTTCTATGCCGGTCGCAATCGGTTTTACTTGTAGCGAACAAGCTCTCGCTACCTGTTTCAACTTGTGCTGGAACTGGAACAGGAGCTTGCAGGAACACTGCAACATAATTCGGCCCTTTGAGACGCAAGGTAGGTACAGTATCCCCCCCACGAGGGGGTCGAAACGCGTCGACGAGTATCGCGAGAGAGTTCAAACGTATATCGGGCCCATTCAATGCAAATGTTCGATTTGCAATTCCTTTTTTTTTATTCCGTTAGAAACATAGAAAAGTGATGGTTTAATTTTTTTTTTCGATATGACCTCGAAAATTAGGGGTCGCACGTGAATATAATCGATTAAAATTAAATAATTAAGGTATTTTGTTCGGGTAAGTTACTGGTGAACAACGTTTCGACCGCTGGGCGCCATCAGGCATTGGTGATTGCGGTATGCGGTAACAATTTTGTACGGTCAAGGTTAGTGGGCATAGTTCAACATTTGGTTCGTTTGAAGCGTCAGCTTTAATCGTTTTCGGGATTTTTTTTTGCTTGATGGAGTGTTACGTATTATTCTGTTTTCTTAGATTTTTATAGTTTTGCGTCCGTGCGGCAGCGAAGTATGGTTTCATTATTTGATTCTTTAAACGATGATACCGACAATGAAAAACAGGATATGCGTCCTTCAAATTATTATTTATTTCTCTGTATAGTCCGTCGTGTTTCTGAGATATCAGCATGAATTTTTGAGATGGGGCGTTTTTGGAGGTGCGAAATACCATTGCATTCATTTTTTTTAACTCGATATTAAACCCTATAATCTCGTTATTTCATTTGTACCACCTACATTTTTTTTTAATTGAAAATTATTATTTTTGAGTGAAATATCAAACAAAAAAATGTTTTATGATTTATTTCTTTTTCGTCTGATAATAAACGCGCTGGATTTTTATGTTTACCTCGTCTTTCTATTGGACTACACTTGGTAAAATTATATATATGTATATTTGCCAATAATGTTTATCACCGATGTATTGCGAAAATATTACGATATATCGTCAACGTTTTGGCAAAAATCCCGTTTCATGTAGGGTCACATTTGAAAGCGATAACATTTTTAAGCTGATGAAATTTCCCTGGTGATGTAAATGAACAATTGCCTATCGCCGACGTATATATTATTGCGCTGATTGTACGCCACTGGCTTGTAAACTATATCATATTCTAAACTGTCGAAATCCAGAAAATACTAAATGCTTTTAACGAAATTTCAAGTCACCGTCGGCCTCGTATTAAACTATAATAAAAGAAAAACAACGTAGTTCTGTCGTTACTGTTTGCGCCTATATCTGTGCTTATTGCGTTGCCCTGGCAACAAGTTCCACGTACGTCCGTACCTGTTTTCCATTGGCGGCGAACATTTTTCCCGAAACTTGTATATAACAAAGTCACAATCACTTTCCCGTAAATCGACTCGCGGTCTTCACTTTTTCGCAGGATCACCGACACGACGTTAAGGATGAAGTCCATAAACAAAATACTCGACAATTTTTTTTTCGTGAAACGTATCGTCGCTAATCTCGATTATTCACCATTCAATGTTAATATCCTCACTAATTATGTCGTTTGGACTTCTTTCGCTTATAAATCGGATTTTTAAAAATCGTTACCTTATCTCGACCGTTTTGTACTGTTATTATAAACAACGATAAGTGACGCCGGCAATGACGCAACCGGTGTTGCTGCGGCCCCCAAATTCTTGAGACAAACAACAACTTGCCAGAGTTTTCTTACGGCTAGGTACAACTTTCGCGCCTGGTAATTTGTCGGCTTCGTTAACAAAGCATTAAGCTTAATCGACATTTAAGCTGAACGAATAGTATATTTTGGATGCGCATTCTGTTTTATACATGCATAGTTTTGTTGGTGCCATTACGTAGGTAAATATTCTGAAATATCTTTTGAAATTGAATTTAATATATGTGATAAATAACGTTTATAATACGCTTTGCTTGTATCAGGCAGTGGTAAATAGTAAGAAGCTAGCTCATTAAATTGATTTGTCATGAAAATATACCAATGGTTGCATGATATTTGGTCGAGCGGCTTCAGGGCAGGTGCCTGACTTTACTAAAGGAAAAACATGAAATTGAATATATGGTTGCATATACGATTATTTTGACAATTTTTTCTGAATTTGTTTAAAACTCACTGTCGAAAGTAACTGTTGCAGATTTTATATTAAAACGTGATGCTCTCAACAAAATTGGCATTGGTCAGTTTTGCTTCCGTATATTAGTTTTCATTTATTTACGTAATTAACCTTACTTTCAGACACGGTTGAGCAAACGTTGGGTCGCGAAATTTACGGCGACAGCCAGACTGAGTAGCTCGGGCGTTGTAGATCCTCCGGACGAATTCATTATCAATATCCCCGAGCAGAAAAAGAGGGATAACGAGAGCCCAGAACAGCAGAAAGCCCGGTAAGAGACAAACTTTGGTAGGGAGAAATTAACGAGTGTGTTTTAGGCTTGTTTATCAGTCGCGTAAGAGGGGTATGCTGGAAAATGATCTTTTGCTCAGTACCTTCGCCTCCAAATATTTAAGTACTTTCACTAAAGAACAAGTCGATTGCTATGACAAGTGAGCTCGAGTGCTAAATAGTGTTGTGGTGTTTAATATCTTTCTTTTTTCAGGCTGATTAACACACCATCCAACGATTGGGATATATATTATTGGGCGACGGAGATAAAACAGATCCCGAAGGAATACGACACTGAGGTTATGCGATTGTTGAAGCAGCATTGCAAGAACCTGAACAGGGAGCCCCGAATAAGACAGCCAGATTTGTACTAAAGTTTTTCTAATGTAATTTGTCCTTAATATAGTATTTATTTGTTTATTGGGTATGATTTTCTTTTCATCTGATTAGTAATAATGCTATAATAAAAATGAATGTTGATTTTACCTTTAAGAAAATTACTGACCATGAGGTTTATTCCTATAGGGGTCACTTAATATTTCTTGTTTTTCTCAAATACTTTTTTGCATAACTGCAAAGAGTAAATTTACAAAAAAAACAAACACTAGATCAAACTTAACTTAAACTTCATTTTAATTTTATTGCCAACTATTCGTCCAGAAGCAGCGTACAATATTTTTATTTTTTTTGTTAAGCAAAATACTCGACGAGTCGCCGGGTCGGTAAGTGACTCTTCCCCGCCGTCACAACAAAAGCACAGTACGAAACCTCTTCGCATTTCTGTGCTCCCGATAAAAACCGCAAATTTTGCCAGAATTCCGCCGTGCCGCAGCCGACCCAAAGGTACGACGAAGACTGCGGCAATTTCCGGTAACAAAAACGGACGCGTCCTTTGTCTCGAACAAATTATGCTGTCCCAATACCGCATAAATTCCGTGCGACGGCCGCCTCGCACCAGGAGAACAGATTCGGTGAGGAGGTACCGGAAACGGAATTATCCATCTTCAGCGCTAGGTGGCGCGCCTGCGCGCCAATTTTTAAATTTTTCATACCTCCTCGACGGTTATGCTCTCCTGATACCAGGCGTGAATTTTCTGGCGATTTGTAAAATCGCGCAGTTCGTTGTGCGGTCGGACGGTGGAGAGTATATTAAGTTGCTGACTCTAAGGGGCGAATTTCTTAATTAATCTTGCTGCCGTAGATCTACACTTCAACTGGCCGCCGTGTGTTAATTCTTGATGGTTTTAGGCAACTGTTGTTTACGGCATATTGGCTTCGTGCTTGTTATTTAATCATTCAATTCTTTGAAGTCTTTCTTTTGGTTTACAAAAATTCATGTTGGCTGTTAAAAATGGCAGATTGTTTGTTTGTTTATTCTTAAGTACACATTATATAAAAATAAATAAGAACTAAAAGATCAGATTTTCACGAAATTATGTATTTTTACACGACGACACGGTGTTGTCGAAACAATTGTCATGCCTAAATATATAATTTTGTGAAAATCTGAACTTTTAGTTCTTATTTATTTTGATAAATTCATTTTCTTCAAATAAAAGCCAATAAATTTTATGCACATGATCACACCAATAAAATTTTTACAAGATTTTACTTTTTGGTGAATGCGCGGGGTTTAAGATAACCAACATTAACAAAAAAATATATCTTTTGGCGGGTGCGCAGGGCAAATAAAAAAACTACCTCTTGATAGCTTAACCTTACTATCTATTTATTACTATCTATATACAAGTCCAATAAACATTTCAATTCCGCGCGACGACGTCTCCGTTCAATAGTATGGCCGCCTGGGATTGTTCTGAAACCAAACGAAACGTCCAACTTTAAAACGCCTCTCACTAGTCACTCACCAATGGATTTGGCCGGAACCGATAAGCGAGCATCATTCGCTTCCTATACGACTCGTATTCGTCCTCGCCCTCGGTGGCGTCGCTCACGTTCAATCCCAAACCCTGGGTGTGTTCCCTGGGCGCGCCCCTACAATACCACATGTTATCCCCGCGCCACGGAAGTCAATTTAGGGGCAACCCCGGCCAAACATCAGAAATACCATTCTAGGCAAACCGATATAGCTACTAAAGAGAGATTCCATACAAGAGAAGGTCCATACAACATGGATGCGGCACTAGAACGACAGTTTTTTCTCAAAATATTTCGGGATCCCATTATAGAAAAGAAAAAAAAAATTAAGTGTCAAGTGTAATTAGTTGGTGAAATGTAGAGCTATACACGTATTATGACGTAGTCCTCATCTTTACGGGGTTATTATACCCTCTAGCCTAGTTACGGTTCAGGATTTATTTTTAAAATATATGGGTTTGCAAGTTTGATAGATCAAAGCTTGAATTTGGTAGCATCAACAATGACAATACGGCCTTTACGAGGTATTGATGAAGATACAATAATTAAATTCTGAACGCAGAGCAGAGCAAAAAATACCTGTGTTGAACCAGTATTTTGACTTATGTGAGGGGTACAATGGGATACCTCTAAAATTATGTCATATTTCATGATTCCAATTGGACAGCTCGGTGAAGAAGCTTGGGACTCTCGAAATAAAGATCTTAAAACAAAAAAACGGTCCCATCAGATCCTGTAATTTTCAAATATGAACAAGAACTCTGCTAAAAAGATGTAGTTACAGAAATACGAACTTTCCTTCAGAAACGTCAGTTCGATTTTGCAGGGGGTCGAGGTTACTGTGTTCTATTTTTCAATTTATTGCGATAAAGATAAACTTTTCAGTATTTTTGTTACCACTAAAGAATGGTCTTCACGGTCCACTACAAAATACACTATTGAGTGAAATAAAACTAAAAAGTAATTTTTTAAATACTTTTAAAGTGTATGGCTGTTCATTATTTTCCCAATTTTTTTTATTCAAATTAGTGGCGTTAGATGTTTGGCCGTCACTTACTTGTTCACGGGTTCGACTATCCCCGCGTTATTCGACCCCAATCCTTGTCCCTCCGACCATCCCAACTTCTGCAACATCTTGAACCCGATATTGTCCTCTTTAATTTTAAACTCCTTGTAGTCGGAAAAGTTGGGCTGCCGGCCCTCTTTCACGGCGCTCGACTTTTCCATGAACCGTTTCAGTTCTTCCGGCGGCAGGAAATCGCCGATGTGATGTTTGCCCTCCGCCTGCTTGGTGAGCTCCGTCGCCCACCTTTCCGTCGCCGTCATCTCCTTCTCGCGTAGCTTGTGTTCCCACGTGCCGCCCTGCGTGTCCTCGTCCGAATCGTACTCGTATTTGTTCTTTCCCTGCTGTTTGAGACGTTCCACGTCCTCGCGCTTCTTCAACATGTCCTGGTACAGCAGGTGGATTTTGAAATTGTCCTCCGCCTTTTTCCAATCCTCCTCGCTGAGGTTCGTCGACCCGTACGTCGTTCTCGCGTAGTGCAACAGCGCGGGATCGTTCCGCGTCACTTTGCTCAGGATCGGCGTGGGCGTCGCGACGCCGGCTTGGGCTGAAAATATGACGAGACTGGTGGAGGAAAAGTTCGATGTTCCGAAAACAAAAAGCATTAATCGACACTGTGACATGAGTTGAGAAAATGTTCCCTCGGGTGCGATCGAATGCTGTGCCCGTAGGGGGAGGCTAATCGCATCCAACGGTGCGGTTTGACGAAATTCACAGCCACGGGAAATTATTGAAAACTTAACGCCAACAAGAACACTTGAATAAAGTGCAAAACATTATAATCAATTTCGAAAGGAGCTTTTTAAGAAAATAGCATAGAACTATGACAAATTAACGAAATGAATAAAAAAATTGTCTCAATAGAAAATAATAAGTACAGAGTTCCGGCCAATAGGGTTCCGCATAACAAAAAATTATTAAAATTGTATGTGTAGGATCACACATGACATATATAGAGAAGGTCGACGGTTTCGATTAGTGAAAGTGTGCCCTTTGTGCATTTTAATTTTAAAAAATAATATAGTACAAGTATAGCATAATAAAAATTGGCGTTTTTTTTAAACTTATTGGAACGCTGCACCTAGAGGGCGCTAATTCTTCTTCATCGAAAAGGTACTCTTCTTTAAGCCATTCCGGCATATTTTCTGATTGTTTTTGCAAATACTTAAAAGATGAAAAGGTACCAAGCGCAATAAAAAAACAATATTTAACAATGATAACTATTTTGGTAATCGGAATTTAAAAAAACTACGCTGCGCTGCGCTACATAAGTATTTTCACATGCCAAGGTTGCGTTAGATTTTAGATAGTAAAAATTTCTCAATCGAATAACGAACCAGATTAAAATAAAAACATATATGGAATATACAAACTATATTACAGAAATCATTGAGACACAATTACCGAATCTGATAAAATGAAGGTTCTCGAACCCAACCATTTTTTTTGATGAAATAGGTTGAGTGTTGTAAGAGTGGAAATCGCAATTCTTTTTAAATTCACTGAGATTACTTTTAATACTAACCAGACAATAAGTATATATGAGAGTCGGTATTTGCAAATCTATTAACTTATGCTTCCAAGAGTCCCTAGAGCCCAGATCACTTTTAACATTAATTCATCTCCTCCGGCGCAGAACTCATGAATATACCTGATCGACCAACCAATTTTCGCCATTATTTGAACAACTTACTTGATACGGGGGCGGGCACGATGGCCGGGGCTCTAACGTTCGGATCTTTGTCGCCCCATCGGCTTTTGCGTTTTCGTTTGGCTCCAAGATCCGACTTCGTGGAACCCTCGTGTTCCTGAACATAAAAAATTGACGATGAGAAGTGAGTAGGAAGTAACAGAGACTTCAAACACACATTTTATTTATTACAATTTCATCAGCTCCTTCTATATGCATAAGTAACAATAAAATATTACTCGTGACTCTGTTACCCGTTTTTGTGATATTTTCTGTCTATTTCAGGAGCCAGGTCATTCTTACTTTAAAACTAGCACTACAAGCACTCTTCATAAAATTAAGGGTCAATTAAATATTGTAAAAGTCTAAGTATCTATAAATCGCGTTACTTTGATTTGTGAAGCTGGTTTGTTAGTAAATTGCAAATATATTACATTACTATTATATAATGTTTCTTGAGTGCCTTCCGTGCAGAGAGCAATTTTAAACAATTTCTAAATAAACCTTGATAAAAATATTTAAAAAGAAACATAGTGTCACTAGCTCGGTAGGAAGGTTGTATGGTTGGATACTGAAGAAGAGTATGGAACTGGAGTACCGAGACATACAAGACCAGAGTGGCTTCTAAGCAAGAGGGTCCTGTATATATATATATATATATATATATATATATATATATATATATATATATATATATATATATATATATATATATATATATATATATATATATATATATATATATATATAATGTATATATATATATATATATATATATATATATATATATATATATATATATATATATATATATATATATATATATATATATATATATATATATATATATATATATATATATATATATATATATATATATATATATATATTGTTTATATTTTGTTTTTTCTTAGACCTTCTCTATATTTATGTTTAGCTTTTGGTTCTTGGGTTATAGGTCTTTGTATTAAAAGCGATTAAAATTTTTTTTGTCCATATATTGACGTTTCGGTCTTCTATGACCTTCTTCAGAAAGGGGTACAGTCAAAAAGAGACAAACACAAATCTTAAAATTGAAGAGGTAGCATCATATGGAAGTTTATACTTTAAAAGCGTTTGGTTTTGTCATAGTGCCCTTGATAAAAGATAAAAGTCCAACAATATAATATATATATATATATATATATATATATATATATATATATATATATATATATATATATATATATATATATTTATATATATATATATATATATATATATATATATATATATATAGATTATAGAAAAACGTGTCGTCATTGATCTTGAAAAAGCCTACAACACGGTACCCTTAAAACTTTTATTTTTATTTAATATTTTGACGAGAACGGAGATAAAGGATGTATTACACAAGAATTCACAGAGTGTCGTTAAGACCCAAAACACCTTGTCAGAATTATTTCATGTGACAAAGGGTTTTAAACATGGATGTTGCCTTTCTCCTACATTGTTTAAAAAATTTTATACAAGAAATGCCACAAAGATAGAGACAAAAATGTTCAGGTATGGAAACTGAGGTTGGCGACCATTACTTGTCAACATTATTTTTTGCTGATGATCAGGTACTAATTGCAAATGGCGACGAGGTTATAAATTACATGTTAAGGAAACTACAAGAAGAATATAATTTAGCGAGAATGAAACTGAACACGGCTAAAACAGAATACTTAAGAATAGGTCAAGAAGAAGATCCCAACTTGTGGTAGGTTAATCAATGCGAAGAGTACAAATACCTTGGTAGTATTATATCTAACAGAGGCTCGTCGATCGAAATGCGGGATGCGGCAGAAACATGGTCATTTGAAGAATGTATTTCATAGTTCGATTGATAGATGGCGGAATAATAATCGGTGTTAGTTTAGCTCTATGCAATTTATGGTGAGACCGACCTGCAGCTCTTGTTTGACCTCGACCTTGATGGGTGGTTCCTCGTCTTCGAGCGCCATTTCCGGCTCGTACATGTCCTCCGGGTCCGGCGGAGGAGGTTTGACGTCATCGGCGCCGTCGTCTCCGCCGCTTTCGCGCTTGTATTGCTCCACTAGGCCGGCGTACTGACGGTATGCGGCCGACTCTTTATAAAATAGGAACCTGCGCCCCGCGCGCGGTGCGAAAACAGAGAAAGAAACAGGAAATGACCCCCGGATGCGATGCAATTAAACGCGGCATTATGTCGTTAAACGACGTATCCGAGTAGTAAGAGTAAACTAACCCCGTCTTACGTGAAAATAAACTATAAATATGTATTTTATGTGTATATACTGAGCGTTACGGTAAGGGGGCGCGTGCGTATCGGGCCCGTTGCGTACCACAGGTTCGGGTCTTGCGTTTTTTTCTGTTTAACGACGTCCTCGACGCTGGGACCGCAGTCGGCGACCATGCGGGCGAGTGACGCCATCGCCTCGAAATCCGCAGTACCTGGGGGGAAAACTTCACAACACGTCACTAAACGGGCCCGCGGGGAACACGAGCAGGGATGACCGCCCACACACACACACACACATACACACACACATCCTCGCAGTTTTTTTAAATTGTATCATTGCGATCACAACCGAAGAAGTACCGGACGATTCTTAACGTATAGGCATAGGCTTGAGAATTCGACAAAGACAAACAATGATTAATGGACTAGTTTTATCAGAGATAAACCGCTGACAACTAATTACAGACAAATTCGGCTAATAATTCCACTGTCTACCCTCTGCAGTTTACTTTTCGTACTTTTAATTAACCAAGATTTTCTCAAATAAATATTAAAAATTAAATTTAAAGTATGGTGGTGTTAATAAAGTGCTGTTTACGCAGAAGATTGCTACAACTATTTGTTGTAAACAGAAACTCCTGTCGCCAACTTTTCAAGGATTTTGGCATCCTAATCAATTATGTCTTTTTATTTAGCTAAAGGTTGTGTTTGTGCATAAAACCTATTAATTTTTTAATTGTAATTTAAAGTAACTTAGTTAAGATTGCTTGCATGTTTTAATTTGTATAATTGAGTATTTTCCTTATGCAGTTTACTTTCTCTAGGTGTAATTTTATTTTTTTTTAACCCTTTTTATGATAGTTTAGTAAGTCGTGGTTACCATTATGAGTAATGTTTATACGTATACGTTGGGAATCGTCCTGTATGTGAGGTACCACTAATTTTTTATTGTTGTTAGTATAAACATAAACGATCAAAAACGAAAAAAGAATCGAATGTGGTGAACTCCACTCCTATCTTCATTACTTTTGTTTTATATTTATACACTGGAAAAAAAATAAATCAAAAAAGTTCAATTTGATTAAAGAACTAAATATATTTAATACTAATTTGATAATCATCGAGAGAAAATGGTCACTATCACGAAAATGAAAATATTTGAATAAGAACTGTTTTGATTTTTTTAAAATCTGGCAATATATAAGGCAGCGTTTTTTGCCTCGCACGACACATAAATGTCGTGCCCCTCCAAGGTGCGGGGCTCAAACCTCTAAACAACCCCCCACCCCCTTTAAAATAGTCATCCCTGCATATTGATATAACATTTACCACAGAACAAAAAAAAAAAAATAAGTAAAACGCATTGCCAAATGTGGTTGCCTACCCTGAAACGCAACGGAAGCCTAAGGGAAAGGACAAAGGAGGCGGCTCGACCGCCAACATCGAACAAACCCTACCTGCGCTCACGTCCCTGAAAGGGGGCGGTATCGACGGCGGCGGCACTGTCATCGGGGGCAATTGGCTAGTGATTGGCGGCGGCGGCTGGTTGATAAAGTTCGGTGGTGGCTGGCTAACGTCGCTGCCGGCTAAAATGGCCGGAGGCGGCCGACACACGTCCACCCCTAGCCCTGGCGGTGGCAATATGGTCTGCCCCATAAGGGGCGGTATCGGAGCACCCAGTGCGAAACCCGACCCGTTTGACGTGTTTTGAATTTGCAGCGGTGGTGCCGGGGGCGGCACTTGCAGCACCGGGATCCCGTTGGAGAGCATCGGCGCTTGCAAGGACACGAGGCCAGCGGCGGAGCTGACCGTGTGAATCAAAACACTTTGCGGCGCCTGCGCCATGAACGACGTTTGGAGGTGGGCGTTTGGGGGTGGGACCGACTTATTCGGAGGCGGCACGTTTTTTATGAAATCATGATCGGTAATGGGGTTCTCGTCACCGCCTCCTACCGAGAGCATCTCCATGGGTTTTGGTTTGGGCATTTCATTCAAGGACGCGGACGGTATCCCGTGCACCTGGATGGAGGTAGGGGGCGGCACGCTCATCGCGTTTAATCCGTCCGGCGGCTGCGCCACCTGGTAGTTGACCACCTGCGAAAAAAAGATTGCAAATCACACAAATTTCCTATAAAAAAAATTAATTAATATTTACATAACAATTAAAATAGCTGAAGAATCATCGTGTATAAAAATTGTTATGGGGCAGCTGTTATATTTTTTTTATATCAGATAAACAAAAATAAAATACAAAAAACAACCTTTTAATAATTCTACTCTAGCGGAGTGTGGCTACGAAGAGTGCAGATAATGTGCTTGTAGAAAACCTTGGAAAAAACATTTAAAAAATATTTAAAATCATTAAAATTCGGGGAAAAAACTTGATTTCGCCATAATCAAAAAGCAAAAACTATATACAAAAATCATATCAACAATAAATCAGGGTGGTTGACGATTTCTCTGTTTCCCCAAGGTCTTTATTGTCTTTAAAAGATAACCATTTTTTCAAAAAAAAGGTTAAATATCAAATAGGAATCAAAAGAAGTATGAACTCTCACCTGAATAGGATTTGGAGGTGGGATGGAGGCAAGTTCGAGAGGGGGCATGCCCGGCGGCCTCACCGACATTGGATGACTCTGGGTTACAAAACTGACACCCTGCGGAGGCAGCATGGGCGGTGGCAACGACACCATCGTCAAAGAGGTGGTGGGGTTCACGGCGGGCATTACGTTGGTTGGAGTGGTGCTGACAAAGATTTTCTGTTCCTGCGTCACCAACACCACATTGACCATCTGATTGTCATTCTGCTGCTGCTGCTGCTGTTGCTCCAACACGTTCAATGGTTGTGGTCCGAAGGAACAAGGCATGACACAATAAGGTGGATGTTTTGGCGGTTCAGTGAGCGACGGGTCTTCTTTCAGTCGGACGTCGGCCACTACCGCTGGAGGTTTGTCGGCCGTGCGAAGCAGTGGTGCCGGCGGAGGCGGCGGTTCATAGTGCTGTGACGAAAACTTGCTAGTGTTTATTGTGATTTTTTGTTCGGTGGAAAATCGTGACGATTTTTTCGATCGATCCAACGGCGACGGCGATCTCTTTCTCGGAGCCCATTTACTTTTGTCCCTGCACAGATCGTGCATAGATACTCAACCGGAAACACTTTTTGTATGCATTACTTACATGAAATTCTTATCCTCGCGCTCCTTAAATTTATTAAATGATTTCAGGCGAGACTCCACCTTTTTCTCCTTCATCTGTTTAAACTGATCTAAAAACGAACCGTCGTTAGAAAATATGTTGACGATGCCCGGTTTATCCACCTCAGTTTTGGTTTCGCTGAAAAAAAAAGAAGCCGCGTCTCAGAAATAAATTTACGTATGCGGTGATTAAGGTGCAAAACCTTAAGCACTTACTTTGCATTATTGTTACTTTCGCTGGTTTGCTTCCGACGGGCTTCCAGTTTCGCCTGGATCTCCCGTTTCTTCTCCTCGATAAGTCGTTCTTGATTAGACATCTGAGCGAAACGATCGTTTCGGCTCATTTTAGACGCTGCAGGCTCGACTAATCGTTTGGACATTTCCGAAGCTGCGATCGCCTCTACCTTCGACGAACAAAACTCACAATTTTGCGAACAAACACCAGAAAACTTCGTTTACATAACATCATAAACACTGATCTCCGCCATTTTAAGAAAATCGAATGACATGTTTGATTGACGTTTCAAGTTAGGGTTCCTTTGCAGGGAGGCTGCCGATATTTTATGAAGATCCTAGCAAAAAAATCAAACCCTATGCAAAATGTTTTCACCAACTTCCCAAAAAATATATATGACGAAAACAACGAGGAGATTGTCAACGCCAAGTTTCTATAACATTTTGGAATATAGTCATTGTAAGATGTGCAATGACCTTTATAAAATCCAGAGCAGGCAACCAACAAAACTAACATAATCTGCATGAAAAAAAATTAAATTATTTTTATTTCTTGTTCTGTATTTTATTTGGTTTTGATGAAGTGAATAAATCCGTTTTTTTTGCTTCAATTTATCAGAACATTATCAAAAATTGAAATTACGACACGACATATTGGCAGCACATTCTAGTGCTTTTTATTTTTAAGAAGTTTGTCCCTCTAGCTGCCAACTTTAATGGCTGCGTATTGATTAAAGATATTAATTCATAATCCAACCTTATCGTGAAAATCCGCTTATAGTTTATAACGAAACTTCTCCTGATAATTTAAAATAACCATGGCGGATAAGGTAAGCAGCAAATTTTTTAATTTATCGGGTTATTAATCGAATTTCAGTATTGAGGTTATGTTTCGAAATAATTGTATATATTTAGGGAGAAGAACCGATCAAGAAGAAAAGGGCGTTCAGGAAGTTTACCTACCGCGGCGTGGACCTGGACCAACTTCTCGATATGCCCAAGTAAAAGTTCGTATTAAAATTTCACGTACCCGTTTTATCGGTCGCGTTTGTAGCGAGCAACTGATGGAGCTTATGCACTGCCGAGCCCGGAGGCGCTTCAGCCGCGGCCTGAAACGAAAACCGATGGCTCTCGTTAAGAAACTGCGCAAAGCGAAGAAGGAGGCCCCTCCATTGGAAAAGCCTGAAATTGTAAAAACTCATCTGCGGAACATGATCATAGTTCCCGAGATGGTAGGCTCTATCGTTGGTGTCTACAATGGCAAGGCTTTTACTCAGGTCGAGATCAAGCCCGAAATGATCGGCCATTACCTAGGAGAGTTTTCACTGACATACAAACCCGTCAAACACGGCAGACCTGGTATCGGCGCTACCCACAGTTCCCGGTTCATCCCTCTGAAGTAGTTTAATTTTGTAAGGTTATGTTTCAATAAATACGTTTTGGAAGGATTGCCGGAGTTTCACTCACCAAGGTTGCAGAAATGGATTTATTAAAAAAAAAAATTAAGTAGTAAGGTATGTACAAGGTTCAATTACAACAGTCGCTAAAAATTATAAAATCTTAAGCGCCCCGCTTGATGCCGCTTTCGCTTTTGCCTTGAAAATTGCTTGAGCAAATGTCAAAACCAAATGAACATCGACCTATCTAAACAAGGACAGTTTCCTGCTGCTGGGCATCTTCCCATCGGAGTCGATCAGGCCCGCCTGGATGTACTCCAGCGAAGGCATCTTTCTCAGGTCGCCTCTCGCCGCCACGGCAGGTTGAGAGTTAAGCAGGCGCTTTGCCACCGCTACTATATCGTCCTTGGTCACTTTCTCTGGAAAACCAATCAAAAAAATTATTAAATTCCTCCGGGTTGGGCACTAAAACACACCGATTTCCCTAATAAAGTATTCTGGCCGTTTCCTGTGGCCTGTGGCGAGTACTTGCCGCCCGATGTCCTCGAACATTACAGGCCGAGACTCGAGATTCATCAACAGCATCGATTGGAGCTGCGTTTTCGCTCGCTGAAATTAAGTTCAGTTATGAAGAAAGCTGTTTCACGAGAACAGACATGAGGCAAAAAAACACCAAATTATACAAGGCGTTATTTAAATTGTTTCAGAACTAAATAAAAACTAGGAGTATTTTTTCAAATAACATTTTTTGTTGTACATTGGACTTCCAGAGTATTCCGTCAGATTACTGTTATGCCTCCACAGCCGGATTATTGTTACTGTGTGTGGTCAGCTTCGTATAACGTCCACATACAGGCCGTAGAAAGAGTGTAGCATACTAGGATTGAATCTTTATCTATTTCATTTTGTTTTTTCTATTTGATAAATAAATAAATTAAATCAGTTTAAAATAGAGACTAATGCTCAGTCAAAGTTACCACAGATGTTTTGGGTGTCCCATTGCAAATAGGCAAAAATTTACCTATCAAAAGTGCAAAACTTCAACAGAGAAATTACTATTTTTTAAGGTTAAAAAGAAAAAAATAAACAAATAACACAAAAAGTTTTAAAAGGCAGTTTTTCTTTCTTTTTTCTTTGGTATATATTTTTATATTTCAATGTGAACCCATTCCCTGTCCCTTGGGGAGTTTTATGTTAAAAAAGAGGCTTTTTACTACAAAACATATTTTGTAATTTGAAAAATAAACTTTTTTGCAGATATATTTTTTATTTATTTATTTTAGGGGTCTTATATACTAGAGTGGTGGGCCAAGGCGGGCCATAAAAAAAAAAACAAAATATTTAAAGAGTTGATATTAGAAAAAAATCGCTTCTTTAAAATATGTTAAATATTTTTTAGTTTTAACAAAACTTCTGGATTCCTCCTGCGTCTATTTGTGCTGAGTCGAACTTGCTAAGAAGCCAACAGTTCGACTCAACAAAAATCGATGCAGGAGGAATCCAGAAGTTTTGTAAAAAGAATTACAATAGCCTGTGGAAGTTTTTGTCCAACTTGGTTGAAATTTGGCCCCATCGTTTATAATTTAATTTGATATTTAACAAGCAGTATCTTATCTTCGAAACCAAGTATTTTTTGGATATACCTTTATAAGGACTGAGCGCATGTTTTTCGAAACACCGTATAGTAGGCAGGAGGAGGAGATTTGTTTGCCCTGCCTCCAAAATTTGGTTTTAACATTTTTAATAGGCATCAATAAATAATTAAATAAATATAAAAACTCACTCTCAGCTCTTGCTCTCCAACGTTGCCGCTCATCGTGACCATCTCCTTGACGATGACCTCGACCATGTCGCGCACGTAGGTGGGCGGTGCGCTCGCATGTATACAAAACAGCCCCGTATCCGAATAGGCGTGGTTGTACGCGGTTGCGCTGTACATCCAATGGTACCGGTTGAGGACGTTCGTGTAGAGGCGTGTGTACATCCCTTTGCCGGGCCCGCCGGCGCTGAACGAGCCTCCGCCCCCCATCATCATGTTAAGCACGCACATCGCGATGAAGTCTTTGTCTTGGTGGGAGCACCCTTCCAGCCCGATCATCACGTGGGACAGTACGGGGAGGCCGGCGGACGCGAATTGGGGCACGTCGCATTCCTCCTGCTCCATCCCGCCCGTATACTGGGCGATGCTTCTGTCTATGTCCGGTGCTTTTGAGTACAAACTTTCCGTCTCCCACAAGGGTTTCACGTCAATGAAGTATTTCTGCACCGCGTCGACTAGTCTCGCGTGCTCCACCCCCACCCCGGCCACGACCATACTTGTTGGAGTGTAATGTTTGCTCAGGTACATGAACAGCAATTCCCGATCGATTTTCTCCAGGTTGTCGGTCGGGCACAGTTTGGGCAACCCCAGTGTATTGTCCCTGTATGCGGCCTACAAAAAATCACCATCGATTCGAGACTCGCGTCTCTGCAAGGCTTGTAAGCAAATCTGACAGATATTTAATAAAAGTGAGGATAAGGATTTACTTGTGTAAAAAAAGCATATTACCAGTTATTAAAGAAAAAATCTGAGAAATTTTATCCTCAAAAACTACAAAAACTAGTTTTTTGTTCCTGGTAAAATGCTTACTAAGGAAGTATATCCCGGTATCATCACCGATTTGCCTTTCTTTGCCTCTGAAATAAACTTATTATTATGATGATTATGATATGAAGGTAAGACAAGACAATAAATCATGCAATTACCGCGTGGATCATGTCTGTAAGGAGGGTTTCCTGCTCGGGCCTCATTGCGAGCATCTCCAATTCGAACTGAATCGCCTGACGAGCACCCAGGACCTCCTCAGACGTTATTTGGGGTCTCAAAGTTGCTTCGGCCAACAGTTGTATGACGTCATTCAGGCCGGAGGTGTACGCGGACGCCGCGTAAATAAAAGTATCTCTAGACGCTTGGCTGTCGCATATGCCGCCGTGCTTTTCTAGCTTATTTATCATTTCGTCCCTGTCAGGGTAGTGTTTTGTGGACTGAAATGCGCGTAACATAATATTATGGCTCAGAAGATTCGCAAAAAAAACTTACGTTAAATGCGAGTTTTTCGAGAAAATGCGATATCCCACTCGGATAGGCCACCTCGTACCTTGACCCAGAGTCTATTATGACCCCGACCGTGCAAAATTCGCCGAATCTGTTCTCGGACGCGACAGTTAGGCCATTCGAAAGCACCGTCACCTGCGTGTGCTGGTGCTCTTCCCGTAAACTGGCGTAGACGGGTTTTGGCAGCCCCTTCACAGGCTCGTCCATTGGGGGCATGTCCGTAACCTTCTTCTTAGGTCTCTCGCTTAAGTTCGCCCATTCAGTGGACGTGCAACGTTTCAGGAGTTGTCCCGCAGGCGTCCATAGCCTTGAAAACGAATAAGATATCTCTAAAATTAAGCGTCGATAACATCTTTCTTATAACTTACTTGCTTTTGGTTTGCATCATTATGGTGTTGGTGATGTTTTTGGACGCTTGAAGAGCCATCGCGCAGACTTATTTCGAGAACGACCTAGTGAAATGTTAAATAATCAGGAATTTTGATGTGCAGCAGTTTCCGGAATTGACATTTGCATTTTCTTCTGGCAAAAAACGATAATAAGGTTATATGAAATGCGCGTACGCGTTTATAGATGGCGACTGGACAACTTCCTCTGGCGACGTCTACAGGCACATCGCTCAAACCTTTGCAAACTTGACCGGTAATTCTATAGCGTCACATAGGCGGCGCTTATAATATAAAATTCGGCACTCCACCGGTAATTTACTCACGATATAATTTTAATAAAATAACAGATGGCGCCAATTGCGAAGACTAACCAAAACTAATCTTTGAAAACTTTGACTAGTTAGGTCGATCGCCGCAGGATGGCAGGCCCAATGCGATGCACACTCCTCGCTGTTCTGCGACCCTGCTACGAGGGTCTTCCGGCAGGTATTTTGCGAAATTTAAGGAAAACAAAAGCCGTCGTCGCCGCCTCGGCGGCACTCCTCGTGTTCATATTTCCCTATAAACGGTGTGCATGCGAATACGTCACTCGGTTGGAATTGGACGCGTGTGATTTTTGCGTCCGGAAAAATGAACCGGGCTGGTACTGGTTTGGTAAAAAATAACATTTGTTTGCTGTGCATAGGATTGTAAAAATAGGAGCAGAGTTCGAATCGACCGCATTTTCGCCTGAATCTTCGTAGTTATGTTGCCTTGGTATCGGAGGTTACACGAATGTGGTTTATTTCGCTGCGGAACCGTCAGTGCGCTCGCGTTGGGCCATTTCTCTAAAAAATAAAACGCGCAATATTTCGGCGTCCCGTTGCGAATAACAGCGTCGATTACATGGGGATCAAACAAAAATGGGGAGGGAGAAACCCCGTTCGGATTCCGCCGCTGCCTCTCTCTCACTGTTTGGGCAAAATTTGCATGACAAAAAAAGCGCGGATGACGAATTCCTTGAAGTTACAATTTTTCTTCGCGGAAAAGGAAAAATAACGAGTTTCGAAAGAAATATGCCGGTACAGCCCCCCACCCCCCCTCCCGGCCAGCCCTTTAACTTCGTCTCTTTCTTTCGGCCTGTTTTCGAGCAATACGGCAACACGTGGACCAAGAGGCTCGAAAAACAAGTTCGCTTTATGTAAACAGAGAGTTTTTTTTTAATGGGGCGGTTTTTAGCCATTTAGATTAGGGGTCTACCCAAGCTTTGAGGTCAGATTGTTATTCTCGAATTTCGCTTTGGATTTAGTGCAACAACAATAAATTAACCAAAACTAACCAAATAAGCTTGCAGTAGACCGCATATTAAAGAGGCACCTTTTAAATTTGTTAAGTAATCTATAATAAATAATTATTTATATATATATATATATATATATATATATATATATATATATATATATATATATATATATATATATATATATATATATATATATATATATATATATATATATATATATATATATATATATATATATATATATATATATATATATATATATATATATATATATATATATATAGAATATATAGAAAAAGTAACGTGAAAGTGTGAGTGTGTTGCTGGAGCTACAAGCATTTGCAATTTTAAAGACCATTTAAAAGCAACTCCTTTATTTTTCATTTCATTATTTTTTATTTATTAATATTATATTTTATTTAATTAGTTGTTCGTAATGTCCACCCAGGTCCTGTATACATAGTCTAGCTCTTCTTAAAATTGAAGTGGTGGTGAATGGAAGCATCAGCACGAATAGTTTCTGCGGCATCCGTAATTCTAGCTACCATTCGTTCTCTGTTTTCAATAATTTCTGCATAAACGAAAGTTTTGCGTCTTCTCCATAAAAATAATCTAAGGGATCAAGGTCGGGAGAGCTTGCTGGCCGAGGAACTGCTGAACCTGTTCCAATCCATCCGTTTGGGTAATTTTGATTAAGAAATTATGTTACTTGTCGACCAAAGTGAGGAGGTCTACCATTGTGCTGAATCCACATTCGTTGTCTTACATTAAGAGGAATATCATTCATTAATATTTGAAGATCATCAACGCAAACAACGAATCTCCGTGAGACGTTCTTCCATTATAAACGGACCAATGAGGCGGTGTCCTTCTGTTAGGAAAAAAAAAAAGTGCCACCATGGAATCGACAATTTTCAAATGTAGGTTTGAGAAGATCTACTACGTAACTTGTGGGACAATATGACCACTTAATTGTACCGTTATTAATTAAGCTTAGGTATAAAAATTTGCTGGTTAGTGATACATTCGTATGTCTCAGTGAATGGTACATGACCATATCATTTTTTTGCAGGACAATTGATTAATATTTGTTATGACATTATTTCACGATTAAACTAAGAAATTTACTGTTAGTAATAAATTTTTGATCATAACCAAATTGTAATATTACGATCGAACTTTTTCACAGAGGAAAAAGGTGGACGTCTTGTGGAAACGAAGCTACACAGAAAAATTCAGCTTGTTAAAAATAGGCTCCGGTCCATAGGCTATAAGGGACCCAGTAAGTGACCACCCATATCCCCTGATTTGAGGCACGATAAATAATTTTAGTCATTTTAGCAAACAGATAAATATACTCTTCAGCTGTAAAAGTATTTCCGGGGTGGCGTAGGGGCGTCCCGACGGTGTCGATGCCGCGCGTCGTCGTCGCGGGTTTCAAACTCTTGGCCGGTCGCGTGCGACTTGAGTTTTCAGTCGCAACTCGGGCGCTGCGAGCGCCACCGATCACAGACGTGTGAATTCTGCGGTCGTACGATCGAATTCGGGAAATTTTGACGCGCGCTCGAAAACACTCGATTCGGAGTTCGCTAGGATTGTTTTTTTTTTAATTCGGTCGAAAACTGTTGTCGGTGCTGAGCTTTGGAAAATTATTGTGGGGCCGACCCCGGAGTTTAGGGAGTTTTACCGAGGCCACAGGACACATCAAAAATCTCAGTGAGTGCTGATTGACGGATTAGTTGATTATACAAAACTTTTTCTGTTCATTCTATTGAATATACTGGGTGTCTCAAATATAATTTTCTGGACCGCCGACAAGTAGGACGAAAAAAAAAAAGGATTTTTTATTTTTCGTATTTTATTGCTTCGATATTTTTATTTTATTTAGATTTTCAAAAACAACATATTTTTTAAAAATATAATTAATTTTCTTAGACATATTGATCACTTCGTTAAAATTATAAAATAATTTCCCGCTGTCAATATATATATATATATATATATATATATATATATATATATATATATATATATATATATATTCACCTTTAATCTCAAAACAAAAATTACGATATAATGAAATATATGCAAAAATTAGTTAATTAAAATTTGATTGAACTTGAAATTAAAATAATTAATTGATGAATGTCGTCTAAATAAATTTAAAATAAGAGACCACGTATTTAATTTTTTATTAATTCAATATTTTTTATTTCATTAAATAAATTTTTAAAAAGACCATGTGTTCCATATTTTTTATTAATTTATTGATATTTAGTTTTATTAAAAATTAATTAATTAATTATTATCTTAATATTTAATTAAATCTAAAATTTAATTAAACAATTAACGGAAAAACAGACCACTAAAAAAAAAATTAAAATGCAACCAATACCAAAACCGCTTTTCGATAATGGACTAAGAAGATCCAAAGTGTCCCGATTCCGTATCGGGCGGTGCGTAGGTAAACCCAAATTGATTGTCATGTGTGTAGGAACTACAATGTATGTCGAGTGGAACGACCCCCGGCAAGGCTGTCGTACGCAAAGGTCGCCGGTCATTTTTTACCATTTTGCGTCGATTAGTCGAATTCTACCGGTTAAACAGGCCAATAATCGCGATGAAGCGAAGAACTGTTTCCGACAAACTGCCGCAAATTGCTGCAGCGATGAAGTGCAGAAAAACAATTTACATCAAAATCGAATAAACATACGCTTCCGTACCCTTCGGGATAAATTTAAATACTTTTTTTTAATTTTTAGGTCCCCGTTTTGGCTAGCGAAATAATACCTAACCATAAACCGCAAAACACAATATTACTGAAAAAAAAAAACAATATTGAAGACATTTTTTTGTGCTTTGTGTCGTGACGATACTTTTGAATATACTGTGTCGTGGGAGAATATTTTTTTAAATATTGAACTGAGGTGGCTTTTAGTTGATGAAAATCCATTTAACAAAATAAACTAAACTGAACTGAACTGAAACTAAAAGTTCAGATTTTCAGGAAAATATATATTTTGAAATGACAATCCTTTCAACAACACCGTGTCTTTATCAATTGTAATATTTACAAACTACCTGTTACTATATATGCAGAAAAATGACAATAAAACCTTAATTAATGTTGTGGGAATTTAAGTTTAATAATGGAGAGGTATTGAAATCTTACTGATCGTTAAGCAATACATTTGAATGTCTCATATTTTTAATCTCCATGGCTTCCAATAAATTTAATTTTCAACTTTTTGTGCCTGTATGTAAAATATCAAAAATTTCCGTCAAAAATATGTTTTTCTGTCTTTAAGTGTTTCTTGAATGATCTACCTGTTTATCCAATATACATTTTAGGACAAGATCCTCATTTCAACCTGTAGACACCTGATTTTTGGGATTTTGATATTTCGTTTTATTGTTTTTTAAAAAAAAATTCTATTGTGTTGCTAGTTCTGAAAGCAATTTTTAAACCACACTTTCAAGACTAGTTGAAATATTTGATAATTGAATACGCTCATAAATACATATAAACATCCTAATCATGTGTTAAGAAACTGTTGATTAACGCTAGTAGTTTAATTAATCGACTTATCTGCCATGACATTTTTACAGAGTATAAAAACCTGTGGTTACTTTTATCGAGTTCGTAGCGATGCAGCGTAATTTTTTAGCGCCATCTGTGTTGTAGTAGCAGATCTAAAAAAGATGCGTTTTTTAAATAATGTGAAGTGTCATGTTTTATCGTCATTGTATAAGTTAGAAACAGCGGTGTCACTTTTTTGCGAAATTATATCGTTTACCCCAAAACTTTTGTAAAAATCCATAACAGAACGGTCATTTGCCTTAAGTCGAATGATACTCTTTTTATGATAGGTGACGATTTAAAATACAAAAATTGCAGTTTCCTGGTCATCTTGAGTTGTCCAGGACGTCCAGGTCATCATTATCTCCTTTGCCACTACGTCCATTATAACAAACCGCGATTCTGGTTTTCCTGTTTTTTTATAGCCAATAATTGGCCGATTATCTTAATAACTCGCCAAAATTCGCCAATTAATTTAACTACTGGTTTATGAGTAAAATTCCGTTGGCACATAAGAACGTAGCTGTGTAATTGTTAAAAGGTAACTACTACTGAGTATTTAGATCGGTTGATACGCACATTAGATTAATAAAAAAAAATAATTTTGCAATATTCTAGAAAATTGTAAAAAGCTTTCTTGTCATATTTGCGTTTTTATATATATTCAACAAACTTACATTTTCAAAGTTCAGTTACGTTGTGTCAAATCGGAACGAGAGACTAAAAGCACTTCAGGCTGCTGTTACGTGACCTCATACTATCCCCATTGGCTAAACCTGCACCGACGTCACATGTCAGTAAATGAGTCTCGTTGATAACGGTTACCCGCGTTTTTGAAATACAATTGCAAATTTAATTGTTTCAATTAGTAGAACGACGTTGATTTCTAGGCTCAAATCGATAGAGCAAACATCACATTACTCTTAAATTATTACAAAATGTTTACTTTTACTTCAAAATCTTCATCGGTTCGATATTTATTTATTGTCTTATAACGTCACTCGTGATTTTGGGAGACGCCGAATTTGCGCCATTTGTTTTCGCCGCATTGCATAGAATCGAATTGGTTCGAACGTTATGGACACTGTGTGCTTAACGAAGGATTTCCAATTATTTAACCAACGACCTATAGCGATTTCAACGACACGCTGAAGCCGTGTTATAATTGTTTGCACGCCATCGCCGTATAGGTAGCGAGTTAGGCCCTAGAATAATTAATGGGAATAACAGCGAAACAAAAATCGACACCACATCACGCGACCGCCCCCCCACGCTACATTGTGAGCCCACCCCCTCCACCCGTACCCGCAAAGCCCGCATAGGTTCGTGTTAAATAAAAATAACATTACTATTTAACGATATTATCGATGCATAGGGATTTAAACCGTTTGAATTTTTATGTAACCTCATTGTTTGATAAACATGCCCCTTTTGTCGTTTCTAAGATCACCAAAATCTATGCTCTTTGGTTAACACATACTATTCGTGAAATGATAAAAATGAGAGAATCTATTGTCGAAATATAAAAAATCCAAATCGATGGCTTATAAAGAAATAAGGAATGTTGTTACAAGTACAGTACGTAAAGAAAAATCGACATACTTGTCTTATAATTTCGATTCTAGGAATACTAGACAGATATGGAAAACTTGAAATATGTTAGCCAGTTCTCAGACCTTGCGACTGCACTTATATCTTTAGATTGCTCTAAAGCCTTTGACCGGTTTCAATGATGTTTTCACTGGATTTTTTGAAAACTACTTAGCTAACAGATATCAGAGAGTTACCCTTGACAGTGTAAGTTCTGAATTTCTCCCTGTTTCATCAGGTGTACCGCAAGGTTCTGTCCTTGGACCCATATTATTCTTATTTTATATTTCTGATATTTATACATCCATCGAATATTTGTACTTGCATTTATTTGCTGATGACACACAGCTATTTTAGTCCTTCGATCCTAAATTTGGATTTGCAAAACTTATTTCTATATTCTTCTAGGCATAATCGAATGTTCTTTTCTCCTAACATTGCACAAGTATCCAAAATGTGTTTATTAATGATTGTTGGCATAGATTCGCGGAATATGTATCTTTGTTGGTGAAAAAGTTTTATTTGGTTTTGCGCCATTTATACAGCCATAGAACTGTCCTGAATTTCAGTTTACGAAAACTTTTTGCTCAATGCCACGATATCGGTCATCTTTGTTCCGTAGATCATTTTCTTATAACTCTGTTATAATTTTGAATTTGTTTTTTTTGTTTAATTTGTTGTAATTTTAGTAAATTTTTTAACAAATATTTCAGGTTGGAACTTCTCAAATAATTTTATTTTCAATGATATTATATTTAATTTATCAATGTATTTATAACTTCCTATTTAGTTTTCAATTTAAACATTTAAGAGGTTAAGCGGAGTAGCTTTTGCTAGACTTCGCCTCTTCTCTACTTTATAATTGTATACAACAAAATGCAACACAAGATGATAAACCTCAGGACGAGGGGATCCACTTATCTTCCCCGTTCACCCGATTTAACTCTGTTGGACTTTTTTGTAATTGGCCTTGTTGGAAAAAGTTCAAAGGATAGGTGTTAATTCACAGAATTGCGTTTGGTTAGTTAACATACAAAATCGTAAACGCTAGCCTATGTATACCCAAGAAAACTCATCGTTCCGTTATTCCAATGTTTCGAACGTGGGCAGGCAGATTTGCCAACCATTCGACGGAAGCCTGCAGATTAGCTGGAAAATTGATAAACGCCATTGCGGGATACGCAATTGTAAACTGCGAAATAAATTATAATAATAATAAAAAAAAACAAAGTAGAAGACGGGGAGAAAAACTGGGTCGCTAGGTTTGGCTGAAGCGTGTGACATTTTTAGGGTGTTGTTGAGAAGATAATTTGCTGCAGTTTTGCAGGATAAAATAGGCAAAAATCCATCAATTTTAGCCATTTTGATTTGTTTTTATTTCTAGTGTTTTTAAGCTTCACAATTTTGATGCAAAATAGTGTTGAAATCGTATGTCGTTATACTAAATCCATAGAATAAAAAAAAAACGAACATTTACCCTAGAAAATAGCTGTTCATTTGAAACCAAATTTTTTGACACTATGAAATAAATGAATAAATGTCACTT